CATGGCTTTAAAAAAATAAATCCCAAAAGTATATATCGCTTGACCATGCCTCCCCAAGTTAGTGGTGCCAACTTTCAACTGTAGCAGAAACCATGGTTTCCTGTGTTGACAAGATGTTAGGGGGGGATGTTTATATTCATACTGGGAGAAACATCTTCCCCTAATCTCTGCAGACTGATCTGCGGTTTAAAGGATACAAAAGCAAGTCAATGTGGTTCATCTCCATGACTCCACAGGTCTGCCTTACCTATATCCACAATAAGTCAATGTGGTTCATCTCCATGACTCCATAGGTCAGCCTTACCTAGATCCACAATAAGGAGCCAAATGTGTGAAACAAAGACCCATAGGGGCAGAGCACAGACTTTATTTGAAAACATCTCAGATTTAGCAAAGGCATTTAGAAACAACTGGAAGAAATCCCTGACTGTAACCTTCACAAGCTATATCTGTTCAAGGAAGACCAGCCTTTCATACCTGATGTCCTCCATATATAATGAGGACAATCCCTATGTCTACAGAGGCCAAATGAAATGTACTCACTTCGAAGAACTGCAAGTCCACACAATGTACAGTTGGTTCCAAAGGTGAAGTGCTGCTTCCAGATGTTAATCTGACACAAGAACTAATCCTGAACTTTCAAGAAACTCTTGAGTGACCCTCAGGGTTTTTGATGTGTGGAAGGCTGGATCAAGGATCCAGGGTGATTCAGTGTCCACACATCAAAAAGTTCTGCTGCTCTTTTGCTGACCTGAAGTAGCTCCTCAGCACAGCCTTGCTGGAAACATTGTTCCTGGCAAGCTTATGCCTGAAGACATCAGAAATGATGTCAATAGCAAAGCGCTTCCATGGAGTTTCTTGAGGCTTTTTTTCCAGGTGGTGTAACAGTAGTGATGCTCCCCAAAAAGACAAGGTACTGGTGCAGATCTGCTGTCAGACTAGCCATCCATGTGGACTAAAATAGGACTTTGTGACAGTTCCATGCTATTAGGTGGAGACTCCTTACATTGTATAAATGGGAGCTCCAAGACAAACTACTCTATTTAGCAGGTGTAAACACAGCCTATGAAAAATATAATCCATTTATGGCCACCATGATACCTTGGGTTGATAAATGTAGTCTCAACTACGAGGGTTGAATGAAAAGTAATGCCTCCACCTTCGTTACTTGGGTTTGGATGGGAATATTTTAATAAATCAAACGCAGAAATAATCCTTAGAATGTGCTCTTTAACTACCACTATTCACTTTTCCACATAATCACCAGACAATTGGTTACATTTCTGCCAACGATGAACAAGTTTTCTGAAGCCGTCACGGAAGAAGTCGACACTCTGTTTCTGCAACCCATTGTGCACAGATCTTTCAATAGCCAAGCAAAGCAGTAATGTGACCCCCACATTCTTGTGAAATGCCGATTATGTTTGAAATTTCTCTCTGAGTGATACGACGATCATCCTGAATCAATCTGTCAACCTTTTGCTTGGGAAACTCAGTGGTTGCTGTCACAGGACGTCCAACTCTTTGTTTGTCACACAAGTCAGATGTTCCCACCTCAACAACTTTAAACTTACTCACCCAATGATGCACAGTACTCACATCAACACAATCCCCATAAACAGTTTGCATTCTCTAATGAATCTCCTTTGGGGTGACACCTTCTGCTGTCAAGAATTCAATGACTGCACGTTGCTTAAGTCACATTGACTGACCGTCTGCGCAGGGTTCCATACTTCGCACTTTAACAACACATTCAATGCTAAGGCTTCCCACCAAAATGGAACTGTAGAGGAGAGTCTACTGAACAAGCCAGTACATGCCACATATCAGTACTGCCATCTGTTGAGGAGTTACGAAGGTGGAGGCATTACTTTTCATTCAACCCTCGTATATACTGGCTACTGGTATGAGGAAGGCTAGTGTACATAATAATGAACTAGATAAAACAATGGTCTAATTCAGTATAATACAGTTTCTTATGTCTCTACATATATGATTCACAAAACAAAAACAATATCCTGATTGTTCAACTTGTGGCAATCCAATAATGCTTTACTTTCCCTATACAGGGAAAGGAGACACTACTCACCTCTCCAGCAAGTCCTTTGCTTCCTGGAGAGAAAGGAATAGAAAAGGGCAAAAAGATTAAATAACTAAAATGTCTCTTCCCTATAGTAGCCAGCCATCACTTATCTTATCAGAGGCAGATCAACAGTTTTCAATGACTCCATGTCATAAAAAATGGACATCTGAACAAAATAGAAATGTTGAGAAAATTTTCATTTGTTTGGTGAAGAATATCTGATTGTTTCTAGAAATATTAATCCAGCATTTACTTGGATAAGCTTGAAACAAACAAAAGGAAACTTGCTAGGAAGAGAAGAGAGTGGTAGTTAAAAAAGGGAAGTAGAAAAAAACAAATTGGATAAATTAAACTAGTGGCTACAGAGATATTAAATTTCAGCAAAGTTACAAATTAACTTCCTTACTAAATGATAGTTTCTGTTTCAGGAAGCAAATAACCATAATCCTACAATTTTATGAAGCATCATCTAAGTGGCTAAGCTTGATATTTTTGACCTCTTTCCTAAACACGAGCTCATTCTCACCTTGAGGAAACTGATGTGATCCTTGCATTCAAGTCCTGCCCGCACTTGACAGAGGGTTTCCGACCAAGAAGCCACTTTCTCATTCAGTTCCTTCAATTTGGTTTCCATTTGGGCCAGGTTCTTCTCTCGCTGGTTCTCCAGGGCTTCCTTTAAACCCAACTCTCTGTCATTTAGCAGCTGGTGCATCTTCACAAATTCCCCAGACACGTGGTCAGACAAGGATTCAGAGCAGGTCTACAAGGAGAGATCGTGACAAAATTCTGGTCTGTTAAAACATGACTCACATTTACCCCCAAAGGCAAGACCAAAACCTATAGATCTAGACCTATTTCCCCAAGACCGGCTATCAGAACTATATAATCCGTTAATCCGGGCAACTGATTGATTATGCTTCCAAATATTTTCTTTCTAGAACAGATGATGGAAATATAGTAGGACTTCCCCATCTGCAGGATTGGTACCAGTGGTTTTATGTATCTGTGACCCAAAACTGCCCTACTGACCAAAATCCTTACTGATCATTGCATCTGCCTTGGTTGCACCTGGCTGACCTCCACCTCCTCTAGTTCATATTGGTAGTGAGATGGTGTGACCCCTAAATATGGGGTCTTGTCCTTGGCACATTTCCACCCAATAGGGTCACTAAGTGGTAAATCACAAAGGTTAATTTTAGCTGCAGCGAAAACTATTTTAACACTTTAACACTTTGATAGTATAAGACTAGCCTCCTATTCTGCCCTTCAATTATCACACTTTTCCCTTGGCTCTACATAGGAATCATCGCACTTAGGAACCAAGGGCCTGAATCCATCTTTAGTTGTCCAGCCATGACACTGTTTTATATTGTTTTTATTATGTTGTCTGATCATGATGTTTATTGAGTTGTTATTGATTGTATTTTCTGTACTTATTTTAACCTGTATTTGTTGGACATGTCCCTCCGTAAGCTGCCCTAAATCCCTGGGGTATAAAAAATAAAGTTAAGTTTTTAAGTTATGGAATCCTGGGAACCATAGTTACAAGGTCTTATGCCTTCAAGGGAGCCAGTGCTTCACCAAACACACACCCTGAGCAAGACAAAGGACTCATTATTTCTACATGGAAATTACAAAGAGCACCTTAATGCATCATAGCTACCTTACTAATTAGTACATTTCTTGGTACATACACACTTGGCAGAGCATGCAGTTACATACATCCCATATGTATATCTATTTAATCATTTCTATTTCTTACTGTAAAACATGCAGTCCCATGCATCTCTCTTGACAGAGAGTTTCCTTGCTCAGCAAAGAGATGCACAGTGACTCCATGCAACCAAGATGGGAGGGTGTCCCCTTTGCCACCACTGCCTGCTTTGCACAACTGATGGCAACAGCATCTGTCTCTGATGCATCCAGCTCTCTTCCTCCTCTTCCTCCTCCAGTTTATTCTGTTTTGCTCCTCAAATAACAGAGTCCAAGGTGGCAGAGAAGAATGAACTGGAAATGGAAGAGGAGCTGTGCCGAGCATAGTTGAGACAGATGATACTAGCTGGCCAACAGTTGTGCAAAGGTACAAGAAGTCTCACTGGATTCCCCATTGTCTGAAATCTCTGTTATCCATTTTAAGTCCCAGAACACATCTTTGGGTCCTAACTAAAATGCCATGAAAATAATAGATTTCTCTTGTGCCATCACCAGCATAATTATTGATGGTTGTGCAAGACTGAAGTTTATTCTTGATGTCATGGATTATTAATTTCCACTGAGTTTATAACAGTGTATAACACTTTGCCATCACACTACAACTTCATCACCATCACCTGGTAGCTACCAGAGGAATCTGTTTGCGTTCAAAGACTTTGAGCACCTCAGTACATCTAACAATGTCAAGCTGAGCTGGAATCATTCACCACCTCTATGGATTCTTTATAGAAGAAGGACACAAGATACTAACAGAAAAATCCTGGATTGGAAACATGTTTCCGTGTCAGGAACGACTTGAGAAACTACAAGCCGCTTCTAGTGTAAGAGAATTGACTGTCTGCAAGAACATTGCCCAGGGATGCCCAGATGTTTACCATCCTGTGGGAGGCTTCTCTCATGTCCCCACATGGGAAGCTGGATAGGAGTTCACCCCGCTCGCCAGATTCAGACTGCCAATCTTTCCGTCATCAGTCCTACCGGCACAAGGGTTTAACTCATTGCGTCACTGGGGGCTCCAATATAAACATATAACCCTAGCTTATGCACTCATATACTTTATTTTGGACAGGATGCAGAGCACTATTCTGTAACCCCTTCCACCTTATCCAAAACCTTCTTCATCCCAGACAAGTGGAAAGCCTGTTGATGCTGTAGTGTTTACCAAACTGAAGGCAGAAAGAGAGGAGGGAGAGAAGGAGGAAGAAAAGCTGGTATTAGTAATGAAAATACAAAAACAAGAGTGATCTCTCAGTTGATCCATGCTCTCATTTTCTGAATTGCTTCCTTTGATCTGATTTGGATTCCAAAATCACCTATTTTTCACATAAATCTTTATGTAAACAGAACAGCACCACACAAACAAGAGACATATCTGTAGGACCCCAATAATAGAAGAAGAAACATTCCTTTGGGGAGAGGAGCTTGAAAGTGCTTTGAGGGGAGTGGAATGAGGGAGGTAGCATTATGAAAAGTAAGAATGTAGGAGGACACGAGAACCAAAAAACCGGGAGATATGGGAATGGAATGAAGTAACCCAAAATGGGAACAAACTCTCGACGGAAGGACTCCACACTGCAACATTTTCTTGGAAGTCAGATTTGAAGAATGCTGTCAACAAATACCCCAAGCTGACATCCTCCTTCTGATCAGAATCACAAGTGCTGAATGTAAAATAACAGACATAACACAGACCCAGAAAAATACCCACAGTTGTCTATTTTGCAGTGACAACAAAACAGGGGAGATCAAATTCAACACCATTTGAAATGTTTCAAGCACACCTTCAATTCTATAATGTTCTCTTGCTGGCGACACTGGCTCATTTTCAGACGCCTGAGACCATCCTCCAGGGGCTCTAGAGATGCCTTTAGTTGGTCCTAGAAGGAAACGAAGAGTGAATAGCCAGCATCACTTAGGGAAGTTTGATCTGCATTAAATGAAATGGTCAATGTAAATGGGGCCCCAGAGTCAGGCCCCATCTACACTGCCATATTAGGCAGGTTGAAGCTACATTACATGGTCAGCGTAGACTTATATAATGGAGTTTANTAGAGAGCTCTGGGATGGAGCTTTGTAAAGAGCACTTCCAAGAATGAGCAGAAGTGTTTCAAGGGTTGGATGGGAAGTTAAAGCTATGCCATTGTGATTATGAAGGATCTCAACCTTTGTTTATTTATTGGATTTATTGTCCACTTGTTCCTCAGAGAGAAACTCAGAGAGGCTCACAAAATATTTAAAAAAATTAAAAACAGGAACTTAAAAAAAAGATTAAAATACATTTAAGGACTTTATAAACCTATGTCGCAGCTGAATTAAAGGAGCCTCCAGTGGCACAGTGGGTTAAACCCTTGTGCTGGTAGGACTGATGACTGACAGGTCGGAGGTTCATATCTGGGGAGAGCGTGGATGAGCTCCCTCTGTCAGCTCCAGCTCCCCATGCTGGGACATGAGAGAAGACTCCCACAAAGATGGTAAAACATCAAAAAAAATTCCGGGTGTCCCTTGGGCAACATCCTTGCAGATGGCCAATTCTGTCACACCAGAAGTGACTTGCAGTTTCTCAAGTCACTCCTGACATGAAAAAAGCTGAATTAAATGGGGAGTTCATGGCATGTGAGTGTAGAGAAAAGCAAACCACAGACCACTTACTACAATGCAGTCTGAGCCCAACTACACACACATTGGAGGACCTTCTCACAGTGACACCAGAGGCACTCCAAGTGGCCAGCTTCTGGTCAAAGGAAATTTAGTATAATACCAAGTTTTAACTTTGTTTATGGTTTTTCTATACATTATAACAGTATTCTCAGTTTGCTTCTGACACAATAAATAAATAAATAAATAAATAAATAAATAAATAGGCTGAATTAAAAACAATTTTATATGAACATCAGTTTAAAAGCCAAGAAGCATCTTGTTTAAATCCCATCTGTAATCACCAGAATTCCATTTGAGTGAAAAAAATTGTGGTTTGCCGAAAGAAGGACAACATGAGATGGAGCCAGTCATAGGGCTGGTCAGTCTTGGAAAGGACTTTTACAACCCAAAAGCTGTCACTGAGAAGTCTATCCTCCCATCTACAGTACACAATCGTAGCAGTTAAACATCACTTTAGCCTTCTTCGTCTTATGGAATCCAGGGTCTTGTACTTTGTTGTGACATCACAGTTCTCTGACACAGAGGGGTAAATGTCTCCCAAAACAGCAGTGTTGTTTTTGGGATGTGTGCTTGAGAAAACATTTAATTTCATTGTACAAAGATGGGCTCAAAGCCAACCTTAAAAACTGTGGCATAGACACCGAGAACTGGGAAGCCCTGGCCCTTGAGCGCTCCAGCTGGAGGTCAGCTGTGACTAGCAGTGCTGTAGAATTTGAAGAGGCACAAATGGAGGGCGAAAGAGAGAAATGTCCCAAGAGGAAGGAGCATCAAGCCAACCCTGACCAGGACCGCCTTCCACCTGGAAACTGATGCCTTTACTGCCGGAGAACATGCAGATCAAGAACAGGGCTCCACAGCCACCTACGTACCCACCACCAGGACACTGAACTTGGAGGACGATCTTACACATACAACGAGGGATCGCCTAACTAAGTAAAGTAAGTGCAATGTACAATAACAATAAAGTTATTCTAGTATATTATATTCCACAGCAGGCCACATAGGGTGCAGGCCACATAGGGTGCATCTGTCTCTGCCCAAGAGTGCCTCACCAAACTACAACTCCCAGTATTCCATAGCATTGAGCTATGGCAGTTAAAATGGTATCAAACCACATTAATTCTACAGCTAGATGTACCCCAAGATGACAATGACACTCTCCAAATTGTTGGCTGCCCAGTCATCTCAGAAGAGAAGATCCTAGACTCTTCTGATCTGAACAACTATGCTCCATGTCAGTACTTCCTAAACTTTGCTTCTCCAGATGTTTTAGATTTTAGCTCCTAGAATCTCTGACCATTGGACCAGCTGTCTGGGACTTTTAGGAGTCCAAACCAACTGGAAAACCAAAGTTTAGGAGTTGTTGCTCCTTATCTTTTGCACTGACACCAGAGTGTGCCAGTCTCTCACCTGATAAGCCTGAACTGCATTTTTGATGGGCAGGAAGTCATGTCCACGATGTTGAGGCAAGTCCCGACAGATGACACAAACAGGTCCCTCATCTTGACTGCAGAAGAGTTTGAGGGGCTCTTCATGTTCCTCACAGAAATACCAGCCTCCAGTGGCACCCAGTTGGGGCCCTTCATCCAGTTTGAGAAGCCTTGCCTTCTCCGCCAGGCTGCACAGGGCTCGGTTGATGGCCATGTGGCGCAAGGCGAATGGACGCCGACATTCAGGGCAAAGCCCACGCCTCTGGCCTTTGGGGATGCAGGGCTCCAAGCACGGGGCACAGAAACTGTGGCCACACTCCAGCATGTGAGGGTCCCGAAAGATGGAGAGGCAAATGGGGCAGAGCAGGTCCTCTGTGAAACTGGAGACCTCTCGTACAGAGGCCATCTTCAGCTGTCAGAAAAAATGCCTACTCTCTTCCCCAGGTATGGAGTGATCGTCACCAACTAGACTAGTGTGTTTCCTCAGGTGTCTCCTAGATGGCCACAAATTTGGTTTCTTTGCAGGCTGGGATCCTCAAACGTATCTCAAGTTGTATTCTTTCTTTAGCTGAACAAAACCATCAATGGCCCATGAATTAGGATGCCCTGTTTTTAAGAAAAAATATCAGGAAAAAAATGATCAAATTGACCCATTAATGAATTTTAATAAAAATATGAAGAACTGAGTTGCATAGTTCAGTTTCCCTCTGCACTATCTACATACCCGTCCAACTTTCTTGATTTGTCAGGGACAGTCCTAATCAATCTATTTTTCTGTTCAGTACCATCCAACAAGGCATGTTTTGGATAGATTAATCATTTGTTCTTTTCAGCTGCTTTGAAAATGTCATGCTTTCTCTCTCCTCTTCCCATTCCCCTTCATTGCCCTCAGCTTACTTCAATTGCTGCAATTTTAGTTCAGTGTATAAACTTAGCTTGCATGTTGTTAACACAGCAAGGAAAAGAGGAAGAATGCTGCACATCCCAGAAAACTCAGAAACAAGCATCAGATGGGGTCCTTGAGGCTGAAACATTTGGCAATTCTTGTTGTAGTCCAACACATCTAGAAGGCAGCCAGCTGGCATCACCTGCCAATCCATTTGGTGTAGGGACGGGAATCGTCTATCCTTCCAGAAGTTGTTGGACTGAATGTTCCAATTGCCCTAGCCAGCATAGCCAAAGGAGAGAAATGTGGGCACAGGGACAGTCTAATAACAACTAGAAAGCCACATGATTGCCATTGACTGAGGCCCCTTCCACATTGCTGTATAAAATCCATACTGAACTGGATTATACAGCAGTGTGGACTCAAATAACAGAGTTCAAAGCAGATATTGTGGATTATCTGCTTTTTAACCTGCCTCGAGCCACAGAGAGAGGCGGGTCAGAACTACAATTATTATTATCATCATCATCATCATCATCATCATCATTATCTGCCTTGATATTCTGGGTTATATGGCTGTGTGGAAGGGCTGTTAGATAACACAAGAGGTGCATCCACATTGTAGAATGAATGGCGTTTGACACCACTTTTACTGTCATGGCAGCCCCTGATGGCACAGTGGGTTAAACCCTTGTGCTGGCAGGATTGCTGACCAACAGGTCAGTGGTTCCAATCCAGGGAGAGCGGGCTGAGCTCCCTCTGTCAGCTCCTGGGCAATGTCCTTGCAGACGGCCAATTCTCTCACACCAGAAGCTACTTACAGTTTATTGTCAAAGGCTTTCATGGCTAGACCTCACAACTGATTGTTGTAGGCTTTTCAGACTATATGGCCATGTTCTAGACCTCACAACCTCTTAAGGATGCTTGCCATAGATGCAGGCGAAACGTCAGGAGAGAATGCTTCTAGAACATGGCTATATAGCCCGAAAAACCTACAACAACCCAGACTTGCAGTTTCTCAAGTTGCTCCTAACACAAAAAAAAAACTGTAATGGCTCAATGCTGTGGAATCGTGGGAATTTAGCCTTCTCTGCCAAATGCTTGCTTGTCCTTCACCAAACTGCAGATCTCATGCCTCCTTAACACTGAGCCATGGTAGTTAAAGTGGTGAGAAATAGCAGTCATTCTACAATGTGGATGCACCCAAAGTCATCTTCTAGTAACTTTGATTTTCAAGATTTTTTTTAAAAAAAGATCAATAGAAAATAGCACAAAACAGTCAATTAACTATTAAGAAATCACAACCCTTGTTCATTCAAAGAGCTCCATAATGTATATAAATGTAATATAAATATTAAAATGTAGGTGCATTTTATTTTGCAAAATTTAGCTATTTCTCCCTTAAAATTTAATTACTAGTAACTTTAAAATAATATCTTACTCTTTTTGTTTCTGCATTTATGTCGCTAGTTTCTCACAAATTATGGAATCACTAGGTTGTTGTAGGTTTTTTTCGGGCTATATGGCCATGTTTTAGAGGCATTCTCTTCTGTCGTTTTGCCTGCATCTATGGCAAGCATCCTTAGGGGTAGTAGTGATGTCTGTTGGAACTAGGAAAATGGGTTTACATATCTATGGAATGACCAGGATAGGACAAGACTCTTGTCTGCTGGAGCTAGGTGTGAATGTTTCAACTGACCACCTTGATTAGCATATAATGGCCTGACAGTGCCTAGAGCAAACTTTTGTTGAGAGGTGATTAGATGTCCTTGTTTGTTTCTTCTCTGTTGTTGTGCTGTTGTAATTTTAGAGTTTTTTTTAATACTGGTAGCAAAGAGACTAATTGATGTGCTATTTATTTATTGTGCCTCGAGTGAATTGAGGGTACAGTGGATATATAAACAGATATATAAACCCATTTTCCTAATTCCAACAGACCTCACTACCTCTGAGGATGCTTGCCATAGATGCAGGTGAAACGTCAGGAGAAAATGCCTCTAGAACATGGCCATTTAGCCCGAAAAAACCCACAAGAACCTATTGATTCCAGCCATGAAAGCCTTCAACAATACATATGTGAAGAATAGCTCTTCTCAGGAGCCAGTCCATCTGATTCAATAGGGCTTACTTATCCCTAAGCTTCATTTAGAACAATATCTGCATCTTATAATATAATAATACAATATAATAAAACTTAATTTCTAGACTGCCTTCTTTTCCCAAAGAAAGTACAAGCCATTTCTTTTGCAAGACTAAAATGATAAGATCTTATTACAAACGAAGGGAGTCAAAAACACTTTCTTACCCTTATAGCTGAAATACTTTTCCTCCTCTTGAGCTTCTCTATCCCATTCTTTTCCAGTTTGAGAGTCAGTTTCAGGTCTTTTTCTCCCCGGCTAAGCTAAGTACCACCTTCTCATGTATTGGGATGCGCTTCCCCTCTCAGCATCTCACTCCCCTCCCATTTTCCCTTAAGATTTGCAATTGAGCGTAAATGCGGTAAGCAAGGACTTTGGTACCAGCAAACTGCAGCAGGGCTCACATCCATATGATACTGATGATGCGGCATCTCTTTCCTCTGCAAACTGCCAGCAACCTTGCAAATCTGACTCGGCACTTTTCTTGCCAAATTAACGCTATAAGCTCCAAAATAGAGCAGGGGAGTTCAAGCAGGTTGAAAAATTATGCACCGTGCATTCCACATTTCAAACATAAAGCTGGGAGACATACGATCACGCAACCTCAACCAAAGTAGTAAAAGTTATTAACGAACAAGGAAATACTAGCTAAGGGGCGATGCAGCCGTTTGCAGCCCTGCTGTCTCAACGCCATTACTATCCAAACTGGGCACCAAGTTCTGAAGAGGGAAAGGCTGATATATGCCTTCATGATTTAGATCCCTTCACTATCAGGATTTCAAATTGCACAAAGATTTTCTGTGCTGAAATGAACAAAGCTTGCAATGATGCCCACAGGATATTCAGAAAATATAAGGAAGTTATGTAATGTCGAAGGCTTTCATGGCCGGAATCACTGGGTTGTTGTAGGTTTTTTCGGGCTATATGGTCATGGTCTAGAAGCATTCTCTCCTGATGTTTCGCCTGCATCTATGGCAAGCATCCTCAGAGGTAGTGAGGTCTGTTGGAACTAGGAAAAGGGGTTTATATATCTGTGGAATGACCAGGGTGGGACAAAGGACTCTTATCTGCTGGAGCTAGGTGTGAATGTTTCAACTGGCCACCTTGATTAACATATAATGGCCTGACAGTGCCTGGAGCAAACTTTTGTTGAGAGGTGATTAGATGTCCTTGTTTGTTTCCTCTCAACAAAGGTTTGCTCCAGATAGTGTCAGGCCCAGCGGCGGCTCAACCTATTACGCAAAGTAAGCATTTGCAGTATAGTTGATTTTGCCTAGGGGCACTCTTAAGGCGCTCGTGGGGGAAAATAGACCTTGACATATGCGAGTTGTAGTTACTGGGATGTATAGTTCGCCTACAATCAAATAGCATTCTGAACTCCACTAATGATGGAATTGAACCAAATATGGCACACAGAACTCCCACAACGAACAGAAAATATATATCAGTGATTGGTTGGGGGGGTGTGTGTGTGCCAAAATACTGTTTGCTTACCGTTGAAAATTACCTAGGGCCACCTCTGGTCAGGCCATTATATGCTAATCAAGGTGGTCAGTCATGGTCTCCTCCTTTCTGTTGAAATTGTACACATGCTTGTGGACCAGCCTGGATACAGCATATTATTTGAGAACACAGAAATGCTGGACCACTCTCACAACCACCATGTCAGGCTACACAGAGAAGCCATTGAAATCCACAAGCATGTGGACAATTTCAACAGAAAGGAAGAAACCATGAAAAATGAACAAAATCTGGCTACCAGTATTTAAAAAAACTCTAAACAACAGAGAGGGAACAACCAGGCACAGCTTAACACCTCTCAACAAAAGATTCCCCCAGGCTCAGCCAGGCCTTCAAATGCTAATGAAGGTGGTCAGTTGAAACATTCACACCTAGCTCCAGCAGAGAAGTGCTCTTTGCCCCACCCCAGTCATTCCATAGATATATAAACCCATTTTCCTAATTCCAACAAACCTCACTACCTCTGAGGATGCTTGCCATAGATGCAAGCGAAACGTCAGGAGAAAATGCCTCTAGAACATGGACATATAGCCCGAAAAAACCCACAAGAACCCATGTTTTATCTATTTTGAAATTTCTTCCATCAGGAAATCAGATGGGGAAAAATAGAAATAACTTTTCCATTTCCGGATTTCACATCTACAACTAATGTGCTGTAGATTGAATTAAGGCTCTGGAGACCAGGGTTCACATCCCTGCTCATTCATAAAACCCACTGGGTGACTTTGGCAAGCCACACATTCTTGGCCTCAGAGCAAAGCAATGGCAAACTTACTCTGAATAATAATAACTTTATTTTTGTATTGTCGAAGGCTTTCATGGGTTGTTGTAGGTTTTGTCGGGCTGTATGGCCATGGTCTAGAGGCATTCGCTCCTGACGTTTCGCCTGCATCTATGGCAAGCATCCTCAGAGGTAGTGAGGTCTGTTGGAAGTAGGAAAAAGGGTTTATATATCTGTGGAATGACCAGGGTGAGACAAAGGACTCTTGTCTGCTGGAGCTGGGTGTGAATGTTTCAACTGACCACCTTGATTAGCATACAATGGGCTGACTTTATTTTTGTACCCTGCCTCCATCTCCCCGAGGGGACTTGGGGTGGCTTACATGGGGCCAAGACTGATCAACACAGTTAAAATGTAACACATTAAAATACGTATCAACAATATAAGACAAAATAAACCAACAACAACATTATAACAATATATAAAAGAGGCATCAAAACCAACAACCAATGATAAAATTCAATTTTAATTTCTTGTCAAGGGTAGGCGGACTGGTGCAACAACAATTTAGAGGATAGGACTAGTGGATAAAGTGCATGGATCATATGGCAACAGTCAGGATAAGAGCCATATAAAATAGGTCATTATGGCTTTAGATACAAAACAATAGGACAGTGTGAGGACAAGATTTTGGGTCCTAGTTGGGGCCAGCTACCTGTTCAAAAGCACGGCGGAACATCCATGTCTTTAGATCTCTGTGGAAGGTCGACAGCGGAAAGTCCTACTTGTGGAATTCCAGTGAAGGGTCTGGAGAACAAGCCCTATGAGGAGCGGCTTAAGGAGCTAGGCATGTTTAGCCTGAAGAAGAGAAGGCTGAGAGGAGATATGATAGCCATGTATAAATATGTGAGAGGAAGCCACAGGGAGGAGGGAGCAAGCTTGTTTTCTGCTTCCTTGGAGACTAGGACACAAGGGAACAATGGCTTCAAACTACAAGAGAGGAGATTCCATCTGAACATGAGGAAGAACTTCCTGACTGTGAGAGCCGTTCAGCAGTGGAACTCTCTGCCCCGGAGTGTGGTGGAGGCTCCTTCTTTGGAAGCTTTTACGCAGAGGCTGGATGGCCATCTGTCAGGGGTGATTTGAATGCAATATTCCTGCTTCTTGGCAGGGGGTTGGACTGGATGGCCCATGAGGTCTCTTCCAACTCTTTGATTCTATGATTCTATGAACAACTCTTTTCAAGAAAACCCTGTAACAAGTTTGCCTTAATTTTAAACAGTTTGAAGGCACACAACACATATCTTATGTTAATATTGAAATGCAATATTCTGAGGCAGAAGTAGAGAGCACTAAACCCTGAACGTCTTTAGCAATGTGGCATTATTTAACAGTCAGATGGAATTTCCCTTGCATAGCCTTGCCTCTTCCAGGGAAAACGAAACCTAGAAGAGGGTGGGGTGTTGCAATGTCTTGTGACTGTGTTGACATTCTGTGTGCGTGTGTGTGTGCACAGTTTTCATGGTTTACTGTGCTTGACTGTAGTCCAAAGACTGACTCAGACCCACTGTAGAACTAGAATCAGTGAGAGGAAGGAAGGAAGGAAGGAAGGAAGGAAGGAAGAAGGCTTTGGAAAGTCTCTAAAGCTGTCCTCCAAAAGGTGTGGTACTGCCGTGAATGTTGACTGAACTTTGCGCAATCTTCTTTCAGTTTCCATGATGAAATGCACCACCGTGGCAACTTCTGCCAGCTTTTCCTGGGATCTTCAGAGTTTTTCTCTTCTTCGATAGCCAATTGTAAGGAACCAGTTCAGGCTGACAAGGTAGTTGCAATTTGAAGTCCGTTTCTAGCTAAATTCCTGAGTCCTGTTTCTGCTTTCTCTTTCTAATGTATTTGCTCCACTACCTTTTTTCTTCAGCTTTGTGGCAATGTTTGCACATTCCCCTCCCCAAACCACAACCTGCCTCTACCCCTTCCTATCCAAATTTTATCTGCAAGACTGTTATTCTTCCTCTTTCAAAAAGGATATTATTTTCCTCAGTCCTTTAGCTTCCTGGCATTCCTTGTCCCACAACTAGCAGCATGAACAGTGTCTACTCACCAGTCAGTCCCCATCCACTGTATTCACATAACTCAATTCCTAATAATTATGCATAGGATTGATTGTTGCAAGGTTAATATTCTTTCTTGTTTTCCCTCACTTCTCCCTTTTTTAAGCTTAATCTTGGGAGGGTAGCTTGCTTAATTAATTATTTTTCTGCCTTTAATGAACTTTGATCATTTCCAGGAGCCACACCAGAATCTTGGTCAAAGTGTGTCTTCTAAAGGAGATTCCATCTGAACATGAGGAAGAACTTCCTGACTGTGAGTGCCGTTCAGCAGTGGAACTCTCTGCCCCGGAGTGTGGTGGAGGCTCCTTCTTTGGAAGCTTTTAAGCAGAGGCTGGATGGCCATCTGTCAGGGGTGATTTGAATGCAATATTCCTGCTTCTTGGCAGGGGGTTGGACTGGATGGCCCATGAGGTCTCTTCCAACTCTTTGATTCTATGATTCTATGAAAGGTCATTTCTACTTGTATTTCATCAACCTGGGGGTTTGGGACCCCGGGGGGGGGTCGAGGGGGGGGGTGTCAGAGGGGTCACCAAAGACCATCAGAAAACACAATATTTTCTGTTGGTCATGGGGGTTCTGTGTGGGAAATCTGGCCCAATTCTATTGCTGGTGGGGTTCAGAGCAGTCATATTTATTTATTTATTTGTCGTGTCAGGAGCAACCGCTCCTGTTGTGAGAGAATTGGCCGTCTGCAAGGACGTTGCCCAGGGGACGCCCGGATGATTTCTGATGTTTTATCATCCTTGTGGGAGGCTTCTCTCATGTCCCCGCATGAGGAGCTGGAGCCGATAGAGGGAGCTCATCCGCCTCTCCCGGGATTCGAACCTGCGACCTGTCGGTCTTCAGTCCTGCCAGCACAAGGCTTTAACCCACTGCGCCACCGGGGGCTCCATCAAATCAGATGAGAATAACAATCCTATGTCATCAGCCAAAAACAGGCCCACACTTTGTGAAGAATGTAGGTGAACTACAACTCCAAAACGCAAAGTCAATGCCCACCAAACTTTCCAGTATTTTCTGTTGGTCATGGGAGTTTTTTGTGCCAAGTTTGGTTCAATTCCATCGTTGGTGGAGTTCAGAATGCTCTTTGATTGTAGGTGAACTATAAATTCCCAGCAACTACAACTCCCAAATGTTAAGGTCTGTTTTCCATCAATATTCAAATTTGGGCATATTGGGTATTTGTGCCAAATTTCGTCCAGTGAATGGAAATACATCCTGCATGTCAGATATTTACCTTACAATTCATAACAGTAGCAAAATTATAGTAGCAATGAAAATAATTTTATGGTTGGGGTCACCACAATATGAGAAACTATATTAAGGGGTTGCGGCATTAGGAAGGTTGAGAAACACGGCTCTAGTACAGTGATTCCCAACCAGTGGTCCACAAGAACTAAAATATGGTCTACAAAATGTTTAAAATGTTAAACTTTTATTCATTTTAATGAATCCGTTGTTATGCAGGCAGCACCAATGAGTAGGATGTCAGGCAAGCACAGGAGGCCATGGGAAGGGCAAGCAATTGACTTCATGTGTCACGTACTCATGCCATCCAGCATCAGTCCTGCAGATTCTTTTGTTTTGCTGTTTAGTGATTCAATGACTCCAATAGTTTTACTGACTGAGAGCCCTCAATATTCATATTAATTTTTGACTTATTTAATGATGATTGAAATAAATCTCAATTGTTCTGGAAAAGACAATCTAGCTTTTGTTTGTTTCACTTATACTCAATTATGTAACCCTTTTGGTACTAATGTTGGAGAGATTGCAGAAGAAATCCAGAAAGAGCTCATTGAATTTCAAAATGATAGAAACTACAAGGATGTGTTTGATCTGATAATTTTGAGGAGTTTTGGTGTAAAAAAGCAATTTTATACTAAATTTTGAGGAATCACCTTACCCTATCTTATCCTCTTCTCCACAACTTATGTATGCAAACAAGGGTTTTCTGCTTTGCTGATAATTAAAAACAAGTCAAGGAATCGATTGAAAATAAATGATGATATAAGTGTAGCTTTGAGCCATAATATTAGCCCAGTATTACCCAACTTGTATTTATTTATTTTGAGAATTTATATCCCCGTCCTTCTCACCCCTGGAGGAGGATTCAGGGTGGCTTACAACAAGCAACCATTAGATGCCAGCAATATACAATTAAAATATTGCAATTGATACAGCAATTACAGAGAGGGTTGTTGTAGGTTTTTGGGGCTATATGGCCATGTTCTAGAAGCATTCTCTCCAGATGTTTTGCCTGCATCAATGGTAAGTATCCTCAGAGGTTGTGAGGTCAGTTGAAACTAGGAAAATTGAGTTTATATATCTCTGGAAAGTCAAGGGTGGGAGGAAAAACTCTTGTCTGTTGGAGCTAGGTGTGAATGTTTCAATTGGCCATCATGAGTAGCATTTAGTGGCCTGACAGTTTTTAGGTGTGGCTTGTTCCTGCTTGGGGGAATCCTTTGTTGAGAGCTGATTAGCTGTTCCTGATTGTTTCTTGTCTGGAGTTCCCCTGTGTTTTAGTGTTGTTCTTTATTTACTGTTATAATTTTAGAGTTTTTTAATAGTAGTAGCCAAACTTTGTTCATTTCATGGTTTCTTCCTTTCTGTTGAAATTTATTTATTTATTTGTTGTGTCAGGAGTGAACCAAAATGGTTGTATTGCATTAAAGACAAACACACTAACAAACAAAACACAAAGTTTGCAGACTTGGTGTTCTACTAAATGTCCTTTGACCAGTAGATGGCCACTTGGAGTGCTTCTGGTATTGCTGCAAGAAGGTCGTCCATTGTGCATGTGGCTCTGTTGAAATTGTCCACATGCTTGTGGATTTCAATAGTTTCTCTGTGTAGCCTGACATGGTTGTTGTTAGAGTGGTCCAACATTTCTGTATTCTCAAATAATATGATGTCCAGGTTGGTCCATCGGGTGCTCTGCTATAGCTGACTTCTCCGATTGAAGTAGTCTGCAGTGCCTTTCATGTTCCTTGATTTGTGTCTGGGCAATGCTGCTGCGTTTGGTGGTGGCTATGTAGACTTGACCACAGCTGCATTGTATACTGTAGACTCCTGCAGAGGTAAGTGCATCCCTCTTGTCCTTTGCTGAAGAAAGCATTTGTTGGATTTTCTTAGTGGGTCTGTAGATAGTTTGTATGTTGTGTTTCTTCATCAGCTTCCCTATGTGATCAGTGGTTCCCTTGATCTATGGCGAGAACACTTTTCCTCTGGGTGGATCTTTGTCTTTACTCTTGTGGCTTGTTCTCAGTCTTGCAGCTCTTCTGATGTCTGTGGTGGAGTATCCATTGGCCTGTAAAGCCCAGTTTAGGTGGTCCAGTTCCCCTAAAAATGTTCTTTTTATATTACAATAGTACTCTTAATTCATGTTACTTTTAAGTGATCAGTACTGTCCTTTTTGTTCAGCTCCCAGTCCTTCAGAAAATCTTCAGATTATTTGTCTTTTAAGATCTATATTGGCTTGGCAATTTAGGTGAGTCATATGTTCTTGTTTGGTGTTATAGAAACAAACTGAGGAGTTGCCAGCTAAAATTTGCCCAGCCTCTGTTTTGTGGTGACCTTATCATAGAGTTTTCTTGACTTTACTCAGAGGAGGATTGCCATTGTTTTGGATTAAAGGGGAGTGTGACTTGCTCAGCTGGGATTTGCACCCCGGTCTCCTGGGACCTTGTCCAGCCTTCAGATCACTACTGCAGATAGAATCTGCATTTTAGAATCTCATGTGCTTTTTTGTTGGTGTCTTACACCGCAGCCAGTGTGTGTCTTACAATCAATGGTATCTTATGAAATACTGTATTTCCTTCATCAAGTACCTTTGTTGGTTCCCATCTCAGGAATAGATACAACTCTAAATCGGCTGAAATGGCCTCCGTCCGAGAAGTGTCTGGGATTACTGAAGACCTACTCTGCCCAGTCTGCCTCTCCATCTTCCAGGACCCTCGGATGCTGGTTTGTGGCCACAATTTCTGCCTTTCTTGCTTGGAGAGCTGTGTCCTTGCCAAGGGGCAGCTTCAGGGAACGTGCCCTGAGTGCCGAGATCCCTTTGACCTCCAAGATGCTGTTCACAACCGTGTCTTGGCCAACTTGTCTGAGAAAGCCCGGCTCCTCAAGTTGGAGGCAGGGTGCCAATCTGGTGTGACTGGGAGCTGGCATATTTGTGAAGAACATGAGGAGCCCCTCAAACTCTTCTGCAGCCAGGATGAGGCCCCAGTCTGCGTGATCTGCAGGGATCTACCTCAGCATCAAGGGCACAACTTTTTGCCTATCAAGAATGCTGTGAACAGTTATCGGGTAAGAGCCTGTGAGCATTTGGAGTGCTTCTGTTAAGTCTGTAATGTGTTATAATCCAAGTTAAATTACCAAGAGTTGAACTAGTGTCGTGATTCCAAGTCTGTCAACTGAGGGCCCATTGCTATGGAAAAATATGTCGGTGGTCCCTCAAATTTCCTAATTGTTTCCTGACTTGCCCACAGTAAATGTATCACTAGCAAGTCTTCATGATGTATCACTAAATGTATCACTAGCAAGTCTTCTGGCTGTATTGCCATGTTCCAGTAGACATCCAACCTGAAAACCTCACAGCAACCCAGTGATTCTGGCCAAGAGAGCCATTGACAACTTCTGGTGAGTTTCAGTCCTAGCAAGTCTATTCCTCAAAAGGACTGCTGGGAACTCCTGGAACAATAAGGAAAGCCTATAAACTTCATTGCACACCATGTAAAGGTGAGCATTCCTCACCACCATTCCAGGAGTTCCCAACAGGTCGATTGAGGAATAGACTTCCTATGTTCATATTTCTTTCTTTGATGCTATCTTGTCTTTCTCCTGATACAGGGACACAAGGCAGCTAACAATAAATATAAAACAATGTGCTGAAGTTGCAGGGTATTGTGAGTTCATGCATGAAGATTGTTGCCCTCCTTCCTACTGTATTTCACAACTTGTTTATTATGTATGTATGTATTCATTCATGTATTTAATTTCTATGTCATTATTTGGAGAATAACTCACAAATGCTCACACCCAGAGAAGGGAGAGCTACTTTTGGAGTTGCTGCAGAACCATAACTACTATTACTATTACACAGGGTTCTTATCTGGTAAAGTGTGGATCCCATAGGAAATCAATCGGTGGGTTTCAATGAAGAAGATGCCAAAGCAGGAAAATTTTCAGTTTCCTTCTTCTTACTTTGCAAATTGATTTTTGTGACCAGTATTCTACATCAGATACTTAGTTAAGTATACTTTTATTTGAATGTCCTAGCTTGATCTGTCCTCACATGGTTTCATTCCAAAGAAAAATAGGGTGGCATAGGATACTAGTGCACATTAGGAACTAATGTGCAGCCATTGTCATTGTGTTGTGATGGGGATGTCTATAGATGTCATCAGACTTAACTCCCAAAGCTTACTGTTAACAGTTGAATTAAAATTCAACAGTCACTCAGTCATCATGTGTACAAGGAAGGAGTGCCATCTTGTAGTTAACCTCAAACAGTAACATGGATTGTGGCAGTGACAAGGATCCATCCATTTTTTTTCTTTTGTGCTCTTCTAATTGTTTTATGTTTATTTATGCATGTGTTTCCCATGCAGGAGAAACTGAAGGCATCTCTGGGGCCTCTGAAGGATCAGGTGAAGTGGGCCACAAATCATCAGTCCTATCAACAGGAGAAAAAGGAAGAACTTGAGGTAAATTTAAGGGAAGAGACAAGAGAGCTATGATGGGACTTGTGAGAGCCTGAGACAACTTTGTGGGTGATGGGACATCAGCAGACGCACCTAGAGGCAGGAAGAAAATGGGGACTTGCTGTTACAGTGAGGCTGTTTGTCAAGTGCTACTTTTAGCTGGGATCATGGAAAATGTTCCAACAACTCAAGAACCCAAAAAACATGAAATGTGGGTTTTTTTCTCAGACTCTGACCAGTTACTGGCTCAGCTCTCCATTTAGGAAGACGCTCTATTAAGACAACTTGGGTCAGGACTCCCAATCTTAAAAACATAAGGAGATTCATGCTAGATCAGACTGAAGAAAGACCATGAACAGAATATGAGTACAATTGCATCCTTTGCATTTCATGCTCCCCAGCAAGGGATATACAGCCATACTAGTGATGATACAGAGGAAACTCAACCACTAGCCATCAATGGTTCTAGCTTTTATTAATTTATTGAATCCTCTTATTAAAGTCATCTGAGTTGAGAGCCATCATTTCCTCTTGTGGCAGTGAATCCCTCAATTTAACTATGTGCTATGTGAAGAAGTGATGTATATACTCATGTATAAATCTAGAAATATAGTCAAACAATCAAGCCCCAAAACGTAGCTTGATTGATTTACAGGTCAATACAAGTACTGTACTATAATACTTATTTTAAAAGGAACCATTCCCTTCTCTGATAGGCAAACCCAGGAGAACCTAAAAGTCCATCCCAGGGAAACCTAAAAGAAGCACTGATGCCCTCTACCCTTTCTCTGCTATGGTGCTGCTTCTGGCCTTTTTGAATGTCTGGGTGGTGAAATGACAGTGATGGTTTTTTGTTGCAGCTCCTCAAAGGAGCACTGAGAGAATAAATGAGGCCAATACTTTGTGCAGGTTCTCCCAGGACAGAACAAGTTCTTGCTTTTCACTGTTCTACTCAGAGAAGGGGATGGTCCTTTTTTATATAATAGTTAATTCTGTAATCTTAATATTTATTTTTGAAAATGAAACATTTCCTTTTCTACGTAGTGGAGAAAATGGTGGTGTTGGTATTCAGGTCGACTGTTCCCCTGAGGCGGCACTTTCCCCTCTTCTCGGAATGCCCTCAACATATCCACGGGTCATATCAAAATCTACAATTTTGGCCCCAAAACCTGCTTTCAACTTACACATACGGTTGACTTATTCAAGAGTATATATGGTACTTCTTTTTATCCCAGATCTCCTACCATATAGCTTCTACTAGTTATTTTCAGAAAGGAAGAAAAGTTACTGCCAATCCACACTTTTGTCATGTCTCTCCTTGCTTTCCCTTTTTTCTAAGCTAAACACCCCTGTAAATGTGGCCATTTTCCCTCCTGGGGCAATTGCTCCAGCTCATTGAGCATCCTGGCTCAAATTGTCTGCACGACCTTGGACATGGTGTTGCTATCTTCTCATCAGTGCACATTCACCTGGCTCTGTTTGTTAAGCAAACAGTCGCTGCCACACAGTATTTCTGATACGCTGAATACAACTAGCTAATGTTTAATTGCTTCATCCCAAAAGGTAATCAATCATACTAATTGTGTCAACTCAGCTTCAAGACTTCAACCTTCACACGAATACAACCAGTTATCTCCAGGCATTTCAGCTGTACTTCCCCACCTTTTATCCCACCTTTCCTTTAATGTGTTCAGAGTGGCATATGCTTTCTGCCCTCACAAGAGTCCTGTGAGGAGCACAGGTTGAGAAATAGTAACTAGACAAAAACCTGAAGGTGTCCTGGTCCATGTCACACTTTTCCTAAAAGCTCTCCACTGGCAATCTTTTGCTTATTAGTTTGGTTGGTTGGTTGGTTGGTTAATTGATTGCTTGATTGACTGTTTTACTGAACCAAATTCCAATTTAGCCATCAATGATTTATGACCAGCAATCCCAAGGAGAATCCTTTTCTGTCCCTTGTCCATCCTGAAGTTTTCTGAGCAGGACTGTCATGAGCAGGTTCAGGTGGTCCTGATGAACAAAGGAAGATCCTCCAGCTGCTCACCAGAACCACCACTGCCACAACCAACAACAACAACAATATTTATTATGGTCCATAGACCCATCAGTAAAACCAACAGTTGTTATACATTCTTCCATTTCAGGAGAAGTCCATTCTACTTGTACAAGATACATTTGCTCACCTGAACCAGATCTGTGTGACTTCACAGAAGACTGGCAAAAATTCTTATGCAGGATTTCAACTTGGCTAAAGCCAGGAGGAGATTGAATTAGATACAATATGGCCCCTGTATCCATGTAGGATATGTTCCAAGACACATACCCCCATGGGTACCTGATGCTGGATAATAGCAAAGCATATATTTTGACTAAACTTTGGCAGGAAGCCTACCATAGAATTGCACTTGAGGGAGGGAACTTTTTTCGGAACGTGGGTGAATATGGCTATCAAATCCATGGATAAGGGGGTCATACACTTCACGGCTTGTTTTGTTTCTAATCTGTTGTACATTAAGTAATTCATAAATTATAAGAACAAACAAATATTACTATAATAAGCACTTTTATCAACTCCACATGGTTTGTCTGCCCCAATTACAGGAGCTAACTCAAAATCTGTATGGCTTGATCTTCATTGCATTTGAAGAACTACGGGAAATCCTGAATGAGAGAGAGCAAAACATGATGGAAGCTGTGAAACAGATGAAGGAAGACAACCTAGCAGCCATGGAAAGGAATGTGGAGTATTTGAAGGAACATGAGTCATCCCACGAAGAGTCAATTTCCAGCATCCAAGCTGCCTTGGAGGAACCCAATGAATTTGCTTTCCTGAAGGTTAGTCTCAGTGGTTTTTCTATGTATTCCTGTGTTTGCTATTACAATTAATATAAGAATCCAAAGGCAGCATAGACAAAGTTTATATCTTCACAAATATCAACACAGTGTCGTATACATCCAAATATCCATGCAATTCTGACCTATGCCAGGTAAAACCAGTTGGACTGAGCCCAAACTCGGTCGAATTTAGGGCACCCCTGAGACCTATAATTTTTATACTTGGGGGCTCTGATATCTATACTCTTTAAAAAGTTGTTCCACAAGATCCACATGTTTTGAAAGGCACTTCCAAAAATAAACTTCATCTGTGTCTTTTCTCTCATCTCCAACAGGAAACTAAGGAGCTAATGGTGAGGTGAGTGTCTTGAGTTTAGTTCTGTGCTATATATAAGGGATTTGGAGACCAGTTTATCAAGCTCCACTTGAGGATTGAGGAACACTATGCCTTGTTTTGAGGGACAGTCACTGTTCTTGGAAGCTTGTAGGAGTGGCAAATCTTTCATGGGGTTAGCATTAGAGCCACACACACAGACACACCTGCCAAAAAAGCCCTAATCTGATATATATTTTGTGATCAGTGTACTTCCTAACCTGGGTTTGCTTAGAATATGGCTTTGTCCACTCCTATAACATAACTAATCCTTACCATAACCCTAGTCTTCTTTGAACACATGACATCCCTCTGGTTTCAAAATGGAAGCTATTTTTAGATGCCTGAAGACTTCAATGTGTTTTACTCTGCTGTTTCTTTGGAGGGTGGGGATCAAGATATCTGCTCTATGCCTCAAATTGGGATTGGGGTAGAATCTGGGGTAGTTGGTTGGAGGACAGGCCAGACAGGTGAATTTTTATGTGGGTATCCACATCTGGCAAGAGTGGTGTTGCCAACTGTTTTGTAAATTCAGTGTTTGTATGCAGATATCAATGTATTCATATATTTGAAGATAGCAGATTGTACATTACAAATCAGCATTTAATCCCACATTACAGTTTCACTTTATATAAAAGCAAATTACCTTTTAAGCCAATTAAAAAGGAGAGGTGTCTCATGGAGCAGGATGTGTGCAAAGTCAATCACATTTGCCATTACATGAGATAGTTGAAACATGTCTGAGGGCTAAGATAACTGCCCAGGTATGGGCCTGGTAACCTCTGAGGTCTAAATGCTATCCAATGAGAGTGCAGGTGGGTGTTAAGAATGACAGGAAAGCAAAAAAAGCTATTGGTTTATATGGATATGCAGATGTGTTTATATTCATATGCATGCAGGGGATGGAGGGAGAGAGTGCAGCATCGTGACCTAAAATAGTCCAATGCTGTGAACATGTGAATATGCTAGAAGTGCCCATTCATACCAACTGACTCCAGGTTCAGGAAACTGCGTAGCTTTCAAATCCAGTTTGAGTTCAAATTAAAATAGATGAGCATGATATTAATAGTGTCTTAGTACTATAGAGTGGAAACACTCCCATACAAATACTGCTTGATAGCTTATAATGTCCCACCAATTTCCCCAAAACCTATAAGATAGCTATAAGGCTTGGACAAATCTCCCATGAGCTGCACCCAGTTTGGCTATTGATAAGGGCGTGAGCTAATTGTTATCCAAAACATCTGGATTTCAGAAGTTCTTCACCTCTGTCTCAAAATCAGTTAGGCCACTGCAGTCACTGGAGTTGAGAATGCCGTGTCCTGACAAAAGTGGGGTTTTTTTCCCCATAGCATTACAGTAGAGGGCCCACAGATTCCTCAAGAGGTGTTCTCTCTGGAAAGGTCTAGGTCTTCCAATGTAACTCTTCCATATGAAGTTGACCACATTGTGACACTGGAGAACCTAGAGCAGTGGTTCTCAACTTGTGGGTCCCCAGTTGTTTTGGCCTTCAACTCCCAGAAATCCTAACAGCTGGTAAACTGGCTGGGATTTCTGGGAGTTGTATGCCAAAACACCTGAGGATTCACAGGATGAGAACCAATGACTTAGATATTCCTAAATATAATACTTTAATTAAATCAATGAATGATCAAAACCACAAAAGTGGAGGGACTGCTGTATATGATGTGCTTTCTGACACATCTAATCAGACCCATGGTCATACTGAGAAAAAATATCAGAGGCTGTTTCCAACAGAGCATATAAAACGTATTGTTATGACTACACTTCTTTCTCCTCATTGGCTGGGGTAGGGACATAGGACCATGATGAAAATTTTAAAAATCTATGAATAAAGCAATTCCTTTTTTTTTTCCTGAGAGGACACCTCTCTAAAGATTACTCTGTTTTCAACTACAGCTGGACACTGGCCATAGAATCGCTTTGGAGAACCTAGAAATTTCTATGTTCTCTAGTATGACTAGAAGTTGACCATAGAATCACACTGGAGGACATAGAGATTCCAAGAGATAACATTTGAAATCAATTCCATGAATAATCTAATCTGAAAATGTCAAAGCTGCAAGTGTGAAGGGATAACTGTACAACTCCCAGAATTCCTCAGCCAAGATGGTCAATGGCTATACTAACTGGCTGTTTCCAGACCCTCTATCCAATACCCTTTTATAGCCTGAAGACTCAGTGAAATTGAACTTGGACCTTTTATCATGCAAAACATTTTAAAAGGACTGTCTCTTCCCTTCCCTGCAGAATCTCAGATCATCTTAGAGAAAAGAATGACGAAAGAGAAAGCAAAGCAGTTGACAGTGGCCTGAGGTTTATTAAGGGTGAAGAGATTGAGGATGAACTTCAAGACATGAGTAAAAATAAGGCTGAAGAAAACAAGGAAGACAAAGCCATTGGTGACAAGGTGGAAGCTTATGGAGAAGCTCAAGATGTTTTGGAAGATGAAGATGCAGGGCTTGTACATGTAAATCCAGCCCTTGAAGAATTGCAAACATTACTTGATTTTGAGAACTTGAAGGACATGTTGAAAAGCATCAGCATTGAGGAGATGTTTGTTCCAAGTTCCCCTTATGGCTCCCCATCTTTAGAGGGAGATGTTCTCCCTTCTGAAGATAGAAACATCTTTGAGGAAAGTGAGGAAAAAGAGACAGCAGTGGCCAAGGAACCAGATAATAACACAGAAATCAAGACTGCAGCTCCAGGTATGAGCTCCCTTGCTAAACAGACACCCCTGCCAAGAAATGTCTCCAATGCTGCACCAAACATGGGAGGAGCCTTTAATAACCCACTCTTTCACTCACCCACTTTCCCAATGCCTCCCTTCCAGCCACTGACTTTCTATAATACCAATCCCATGCCAGGACGGGGGAATGTACGTTTCTGGAGGCCTTCTCCCATGCGGTCTTGTAGCATGCAGAGGCAGATATTTTACTCCAGCTTTGCACAAGGAAGAGGAAATAGCCCAAACAGACAGGGATCCCAACCTAGCATAGGCCAGTTCCCAACCTATTCACAACAGAACAGCTGGAAATATCAAAGGAGAGATCCACACCAACCTAGAGGAGGTCAAGGTGAGAGGCAAGGACAGAGTGGTTTCAATAAACAGAAGCCCCAACCCAGTGGTGGTAGCCAAAGTGGAGCGGGGTCCATAAAGAATGAGACACACAAACCCAAGCAGGTCCATGTCTCAAGGACTGAAGGAGATTGGAGGAGTTCCCAATCCAGTGTGGATAACAGCTCAGGCCAAAGCAGAGAGCCACCTAAACCCAAAAGTGGTCCCCCACCAGGACAAGGAAGTTCAGGACAAGGACGAAAGTCTGGGAAGAAAAGGGGTGGAGCATCCTCAGGAAACCGGGCATCTCACCCTGGAAGTCGTGGGGACAGTCAAGGCTCTAGTTCAGCAAAGCGCCCTTAGAACAGATTGCCATTTCTTACCCATTTAGAAGTGACTCACCAGAATGCAAAGAGAAGGGACTTCTCTAAGATACAGGGTGGTGTCACAAAAGAGTGGACTGCGACGACTAGTTTTTCCAGGAAAAGTAGAACTAAAAAAATTCTGATCCACTAATCTGATGGACTAAAGATTTATAATTTACTGCAGGTAGCTTTCTTTAAATGGTTAAGACAATGTATAGATTGTATTTAACCCAAAATAAGCTGTTGGAAATGTCTAAGCATGTATCAAATCAATGTTGAGGATGCCAAGAGATGCAGGATTTTTAAAAAGTTATTAATCTGGAATATATATGATAATTCAAAAAGTTCTAAAGGTAGACTTTGTAATGATACCAGAAATGTTTTTATTGAGTACTAGCTGTCCCCTGCCACGCGTAGTCAAAGGGCCAGTTGGCAACCGTTTGAGGCTGGCGAGTTCACCAGCTTTGATCAGTTCCCAACTGTCCCCTCAACTGGTTTACATTCACAATTCTAATGCGCCATTGAATATGGAGCATCATGTTCGCCAGCAAAATCTTTTTTTTGTTTCAGGTTTTTGAAAAATGAGGTGGACATTAGATTTGACAGTGCATTAGACTCAAATAAATACAGTAATTTTGGTTCCGGACGATAGAATAATATATTTCTTCTTTTTAGTTATTTTTATTTATTCTAGTTTGAACAGTAGGGTCAGAGCCCCATGGTGTGTTAGTAGTCAGTATTTAGAATATAATGTCTTAGTGCAGATGAATATTAGGGCAGTGTTAATTGTAGTTTTATGTATTTTCTTTTCTTTCACTTTTCTTCCCTGTTTAATCTGCTCGGTTTTGAATAGTTTATTTTTGATGTACTGTTCTGTACCCTGATATAGTCTGTGTTTTACATTTAATAAAAATGTTACACAAAAATGGATGAAAGATCTCTTGATTTGAAAACATCCCTCAGTGAGTTGCTGTGCGTTTTCTGGGCTCTATGGCCATGTTCCAAAAGCATTCTCTCCTGACATTTCATCCACATCTATGGCAGGCATCCTCAGAGGTTGTGAGGTCTGTTGGAACCTAGGCAAGTGAGGTTTATATATCTGTGGAATAATGTCCAGGGTGGGAGAAAGAACTCTTGCCTGTTTGAGACGAGTGTGAACATTGCAATTGGCTACTTTGATTAGCATTGAATGGCCTTGCAGCTTCAAAGCCTGGCTGTTTCCTGCCTGGGGGAATCCTTTGTTAGGAGGCGTTAACTGGACCTGATTGTTTCCTGTCTGGAATTCCTGTTTTTGACTGTTGCTCTTCATTTACTGTCCTACTGCTTAATTCATTGTTCATTCCCCAATGAATTAAGTAGTAGGCTTTTTAAAGAAAAAGAAACTTTATATCACATGTGTGTATGTGTGTCTTTAAATTGTCTGTTGACTTAGGCGACCCCGTGAATTTCATAAGCAAGGAATGTTCAGAAATGGTTTTGCCAGTACATTCCTCGGAATGTAGCCTAAAGCATCTACTTTTTACTAAGTACTAATAATATAATAACTATTTATATTCTGCCCTATCTCCCCAAGGGGACTCAGGGCGGATCACAGTACACATACACAGTAAACATTCAATGCCATTTTTGGGCAGGCAGGACAGAGACAGACAGAAAAGAATGGAGGTATGTTGTGTCGACGTCCAGTTTTTTAGCACTTTAGAGGTTGTGGTCGAATCAAGCCACAGGGGGTACTGTCACTCCATCCTCTATGATGAAGAGCCATCAGAACTTCCTTCCTTTTGGTCACTGGGCGTTTTCTGATCTTTTTGTTTTATGGTGTCGTAAAATACCCCCTCCCCCTTTTAAAGGTACCTAATTTCTCTACTTACAGCTCTAAGCTGTTTCCAAACTGCTTAGGCAAATAGTGAGCTGGGCCGACAGTCAGGTACTCAAACCGAACCGAGCTTCGAACTGGCAACCTTTCGGTGGTAGATTTTATCATTTCCTCTTTTGCCCAGATTCAAAGTACAACTCAAGACCAAAATACTGTACAAAATGCAAAGCGCTTTATTTCACCACATAAATGGAAAGGACTAAAAAACCCCAAACATCTATATATTAGTGTAAAAAAATCTGTCTATCTTTTTTCTGCTCTTCAAATATATACACATCCTGGTGCACAATACAAACAAACAGCTACAAGTAGCCCCAGAGAAACACACACACAAAAGAAGGTACCCAACAGGGTCAGCGAAGAGGAGAGAACAGTCACTGAAACAGAGGCATTGTGTGCCATGGAAACATGTTCAAGGAGAAATATACATCTCGTTATGAGTATTTTCACACAGTTCAAAACATTCAAAACATTAGATTTCTTAATTAACCCAAAGTTTGTCATTATTGTAGTGGCAACCCTATGTAAGCTCTCTCATGGAACCCAAGTAAATATGCTCCAAATAAGAATAATAGCGAGGTGTTCATTTCCCACAGTGGAAAGGGAAACATTCGATAGTACAGTGGTTCTCAACCTGTGAGTTCCCAGGTGTTTTGGCCCACAACTTCCAGAAATCCCAGCCAGTTTACCAGATATTGGGATTTCTGGGAATGGAAGGCCAAAACATCTGGAAACCCACAGGCTGAGAACCACCGCCATAGTGGGTTGCTTCTCCCATTTACCCTCATGAGCTGGACAAAGTTCACAGTAGTATCCACTCAGAAAATCTATTTTTATTTTAAAAATCGAAGAATGAGGATCAAAGGAAAGAGCATAAAATATATTAAACCCTACACAGCAGATGCATGAACAAGACTGAAGAGTTTATGGGCTGCTCCCCATGTTGTCTGCCTCAATGAACATCATCCTATGATGGAGAATGGGAGTAGCAATACGTTACGCTACGTTTCCTTTCCACTGCTGGAAAACTTACATTCACAGCTGTAAAAAGCTGTGAATGTAAGGCACTTTTGCTAACAAAAGGATGGTTAAAATATCTCTTCCATAAAGCCACACACCAACTGCACACACTGCAAGTTATTTTTGGATTTTACTTGCATGTAAACATACGGAATCTGGATCAGGCAATTCCCACATAACTGGATTCACCTTCCTCCCCAAGACTTGAAAATAATAATTCAATGGGCCCTGACATACTATCTTTCAAATAAAACAGTGTTCAATATATGCTATTTTTTAAATGCAGCAGATAATTTAAATCATGTCTTCCAAGAGTCATTGAATGTTCATGGAACAGGGCCAGAATATTTATTTCCTGTTAATATCAGGATTCGCTGTATTGCCAAAACAATGGAAGAGGATCAAAGCTATTTTCTGGGTGCAATGCTCAGATAGGATTGGATAGCATGACAAACTTTTCATAAAATGGTGTACAACATAGGCAGAATTGTCATTAATGCTTTCTTATTATTATTATCAAATCAGGTGTACCTGCCAAAAGCTGAAATACAAAGCATAGCTAGCTCTAATCATTTGGAACATTCTGAGCACATAATTTGAGAATCAACCACCCAAACTGCTGCCTCCAGCTATTAAGCTTAAACAAAATTTACATTTTGATAGATGGCTGAAGACGCAGACTGCTTTCAATCACATCGCACCTTTCCTCCCTTTGTTTTGTTTCAACAAAACAAAACTTAAGGGGTGGGAGGTGGTAAGTATATTTTCTGGTTCTTCTCACCAAACAGAGAAACTGACATTAGGAAAGGTTATTGCATTCATAATCTGCTAGAAGCATTGGTAATTGCAGAAATTTGTGTATGTATGTGCACGGATCTCACTGCTGTGAGAATAATGCTGATTTTGGAGACCCTTCTCTGGGGCACAATGAAACAGTAGGCAAGCAAAACACAAAACTTAGATCAATTTCCCCAACTCCCACTATTTGCTTTGGGAAAGTGCCTCCTTTCCCTGCCACTTTGTACAGTAGAATATCTACAATCAGGTTGAGAGAGGAGCCACAGCCAGAGAAGAAGAAAAAGGAGCAGGCACAGCAGCCAAAGGAGATTGAGGAGGAGAAGAAGCCAGGCATCACACTTGTGTGTGTGTAGTTTTGGCTGACAGGATGCCATTGTGACATTGGTGGGTCAACTGGTCCTGTGTGTGAGGAGCAGACAGGGTCCTGCAATTGCAGACTGACTACTCAAGGACCCAGACAAACTCATCCTCCACCTAAGCTATCGGGCTGCGCTTCTGGGCTGGGCCTTGCCACACCACAAAAGCTGAGATTTCACTAACGTGTGTTTGAGACGTCCAATAAACTGGAGTTGTATAATAAAGTGTAAATAATACCCCTGAAGCACAAATAACAAAAGAGGGATGAGGCGCTTCCAAGCTGAAAATTACCATTGAAGCATGAAACATCCCAGGAATCTGGGCTGTAGTAAGTTTTTCAGGCTGTATGACCATGTTCCAGAAGCATTCTCTCCTGACGTTTCACCTGCACCTATGGCAGACATCCTCACAACCACTGAGGATGCCTGCCATATATGCAGGTGCAACATCAGGAAAGAATGCTTCTGGAACATGGCCATACAGCCCACAAAACTTACAACAACCCAGTGATTCCAGCCATGAAAGCCTTCGACAAAACATCCCAGTAATCATCCAGTGCTTGTGGGTGCTCAAGCTTGTCAAATCCAAGTACTCAAGAATTGAAGTTTCTGTGACCGAGCAAATGGGCACATCAAATGGGGGCAGCAACAGCAGCTTCTGGCAGGACCACAAGAAGTGCAACAAAGAGGCTCGACAAAAGAGTGCCCACATCACAGAATCATGGCCAAAAGCCAAGCAGAAAGACATGAAATGAAGTTATAAAGAAGGTGGACAGGCTTCCAGGTAGGACAGATCTGTGGCACATTGGGGAGCTAGACTGGAAAGATGGCCCCTTGGTATATCTGATGTTAAATTGCATTCTTTAGATTAGATTGTGACCATTTCCAGCCTAAAGTCCATTCTATGCCATGTCAAATCTCACCAGCCTGGATCGGTGCTTCTCCAACGTGTCAAAGTGGGTAAGATCAAGAGGTATCCCCTTGCCTCTCAAGAGCAGCAAGTACAGGTTCTCCCAGCCTACAGTGGGCTTGTAAAGTACCTTTGAAACTACGTCTTCCAGCCTCTCCAAGCATCCAGTGCTCAGTGAATCCCAGTGTTTATGAACCCGAGGGTTCTATTCTATTTAGCCAGTGTTAGTCCAGTTGTAAGTGAAGTCTAAAGGCAGAAATGCAGTCCCCAATGTGGAGTTGTTTAAAGACTAGGAATCTTTCCACCACCATTATTTTAGTACCAGTTTCTCAGGTGGAAAGAGCATTAAGAGAGGACTTTTCATTGGGGAAATAGTAGAGGTAGAAGAAGAGAAAAAATGCATTGTTTTGAAAAGTTAAAAATTGTGTGAGAGAAAACAATAATGTGATTCAGGTCTAAGGCACTGAGATATGAAAAGTAATTCAGCCGATGACCATTGCTCATTCCAACTACAACTAGAGCAGAACTGCAGTCTTGCCATTGCAGACTGAAGTGCTTCCAGGTTTATCCTATTTTCAAGTCTTGCAGCCTACTGCTGTGTGAAAAAGTCTCTGCATTATAACATTAATCCAACCCTAGAGTTGCAATCCTATACATATTCTCCTGTGAATAAGTATACTCAGCTCAGTAAAGTTGATTTACTCAGGATTGCCCTGGTGGTAATCAGGGAAATGGAAAGAAATGAGCAAAGAGAGAAAGACAGGGCAAACAAGGGATGAATTCAGTAGGTTCTTCTTTGTGGGCATTCAAGTCCTTCACGGTTTAGCAGGTGAGGAAGGCTAAACGCTCCCCAGTTTCCCTTCCTTCTCCTAACTCTGGATCTCTCCTCTCATCCACATGTTTCATACCCTGCTAAAGAGGGGGACTGTCTCATAGTAGTACAGCCTCTGGTTCTAGAGTGCCAAAGGAAGTATCACAGGGCTTACAACAACAGCAGGAGAAAATAACACCATTCCGAATCAGGACATTGCACCATTTGCCTTGACAAAATGACAACACAAAGCCTGCAAAACTATTCACTTTTTAAAAACTATTCAGACTGTTCAAAGTGCTTTAGATCTCTCTTTCTGTCCTGTGAAGTAGGTAAGTATTAATACCTCCAAATTGCTAAGGAAGGACTGAGTAGTTGAACAGAAGTCTTTCAGGTTCAAAGACTTAGCCATTGTGTTGTATCAGTCACAAAGTAGCACATATCCAATAGGCTTGTGATGAATTAATCAGAAATACATTATTGGCTGGACATTCCGCTTTCCAAACCAATCAGGGATGAGCTCTCGGGATTTCATATCACCAACAACATCCCTGTTCCCTTAAATAAGGCTCAACTCATCCTTTGGGAAACCAAAGAGAAGAGATGGATTGAAAGATTAGATGTGTTGCAAAATTAGAATACATAAAGAATGCAGAGAACAGTGTGTGCATTAATGAACTGAGTGTTGAACACAATTTTTCACGAAGATTGTACAGAACTAGTTTAGACAAAGACACACGATAAAAATAAGTATGTCTGCTGGTTGAGATACAAACAGGAAAACGGAGAAAAAGCAACGTGTTGGATTGGATGACGAGATCGAAGGAGTTGAACAGGCCAAGGAAAGTCTAATAAATGAAATGGAGTGAGTAGAAACTGGGGATAGGCGGAGGATGATGTGAGGACATCAGCCGAGCATGAGGATGTGGCGATGCCCCCATCAGGACTGCAGTAGAGTAAGTTCCGGAGCACTACGCCCACCACCCTGCCACATGCTGCTCCCAGGAGTCTCTGTGTCATCGTCCGGCTCCTTAAGGTAGCCGCTGCTGTCCAGTGCCAAGCTGGTTCACACCATATTGAGGGCATCCTCAGCCAGGAAACGCTGCAAGTATTGGAAAGGTGGGCGGTCCTTGGACTCTCGGGTCCAGCATCTCAGCATCACCTCGTAGACAGCCAAGGGACAGGCAGGAGGACGGGAGAGATAGACCTAGAGGCAGACGGAAAGGCACACAAGGTAAGGGAGAGAAGCTGACAGATTTTTCGACTCCTGTGGCAATTAACTTGGTATATATATATATACACACACATACACACTACAATAGCCAGGAGCTGCGGTGGTGCAATGGGTTAACCCCTTGTGCCGGTTCAAATCCACAAGATAAGGTAAGCTCCCATCTGTCAGCTCCAGCTGTGAGAAAATTCTCCCACAGGATAGTAAAACATCCTTGCAGATGACCAATTCTCTCACACCAGAAGTGACTTGCAGTTTCTCAAGTCGCTTCTGACACACACAAAAATGCACAAGAGGCAGTGCAGCATGTTTGAGCGGTTCAGACCACAACTCTAATCCCCTAACCACTCACACAGAAAGGTAACAGGAACTTGTCTTGCAAGCCTACTAATTCTTTGATAAAAGAGTTTGTTGTGATGGGAGTTATTTAGGGAAAAGGATTTCTTTTTTGTGAAATTCAGTATGGTGTAGTGGTTTGAATGTTGGGCTATGACTATGAAAACCAGAGTTCAAATTCTTGCTCCATCACTGAAACCCACTGGGTGATGCTAGATCAGTCAAACTCTCTCAGCCATGGAAGGCCATGGCAAACCACTTCTGAAGAAAACCTTGGTAGGTTTTTCCGTAAAATCGCCATATATCAACAATGGCTTGAGGGCACACAACAACAACAATAGCAATACACTTCTACTTCTACTGTTGAGAGAGACCACTGGCAAATCTGCAGTCCCTCCACTCTCTTAGCAGCATTCCTACAATCAAATCAACACAAGGTGCAAACCACAAACCCAATGCAGCACCAAAGTCACAATTTTATGACCTTCTAACGGCCTAAACCACTCCTGTTCATAGGCTGTTTCCGTGGCCATCTCAGGCAGGCAGCCAAGAAGAGGAGATAAACTGACAAGCCCCAGCAGACTACGTCCCAAATAAGAGGTCACAAGCTCTGAAAAGTTAACCCTACCATTTTCTATTTCTCCCTATATGATTGGATACATGGATGACAAAAAAAGTCTTGCATACCATCACAACCTCAGAGGCACACAAATCCTTAAATATCTGGGGGCTTTTTGGGCTATCCTCCCCATAGTTACCTGCTTGCCCTGATGCCGGAAGAATTCGCCTGCATTCTCAATGACGGCTTCATCTGTCAGCTGGCTGTACGGCTGTTCTTGGCACAGCATCAACACCTCCCACAGCGTGACTCCAAAGGCCCAGACGTCACTGGCAGTAGTGAACTTGCCCTGAGGAGAAATGGAAAAGGGGGTGAAAATAAAATGGGCAAAAGTAATATAATAATAATAATAAAGCAGAGGCATAATACTGTTGCTCAGATGATTCATTGGAACTTGTACCACAAATACCATCTGCCTGTGACAAAGAACTGGTGGGATCACAAGCTGGAAAAAGTTACAGAAAATTAACATGCCAAGCTACTCTGGGATTTCCGAATTCAGACAGACAGAGTTGGAGCACAATACTCCTGACCTCACAATCGTGTTAAAAAAACAAGTATGGATTGTTGATGTTGCCATCCCAGGTGACAGCAGGATTGAAGAGAAACAACTGGAAAAGCTGACAAGACATGAGGATTTAAAGATTGAACTGCAAATACTCTGGCACAAGCCAGTCAAGGTGATCCCAGTGGTGATCAGCACACTGGGTGCAGTGCCTAAAGACCTTGGCCTGCACTTAAACACAATTGGCCACCTTACTGGGATCTGCACACATTATTCACCGATACATCACACAGTCCTAGACACTTAGGAAGTGTCTGACATGTGATCCAATATAACAGCCACAGAGTGTCTACTGTGGACTCATCTTGTTGTGTTTCTAATAATAATAATAATAATAATAATAATAATAATAATAATAATAATAATAATAATAATTTTATATTCCACCCTATATCCCCAAAGAGACTCAGAGCTCCACCAAGGTGTCCTCCACAAACCAAAGCCTTATGATTTATTCTTTCTGCCATGCCTGTTGAAAATCTTGAATAAGAGACCACATCATTTTTGTGGTGTAATTCATAAGAAAAGGAACACAATCCAGTGTCCTAAGACATCAGCTTCATTGCTGATTTTTGGATGAGTTTTTATTATGACTAAATTTACTATGGCATAAGCATTTGTGGACTGCCAGCCACTTCAGTTAAAGAGGATGCTAGTTCATTAAAGCTTAAGCTGATTATGACATAAAGCATTCATGAGCCAGAATCATTGAAAACTGTTCTTCTCTCTAGAGTTTAAGCTGATGGAAGCTCCTTCCTTGGAGGCTTTTAAACAGAGACCATCTGTGGGGAGTGTTTTGATTAGACACTGGGTTATGATTCTAGAGACCTGAGTTGTGGAAAGTATTTTTGTGCAAAATACAATTTTCATGCAAAAACATTTTGAGATTAGCCACCTAAAACTAATTTTCCAGCCACATTGCTGTGTGAAAAAAGCATTGTTTGCACAAAACCACATTAGTGTATTTTCATAAAATTTCACTAAAATGCATATATCTATGTGCATAATAATTTTCTTTGACAATTCAAAATGTGTGCATACAAAGTGAAAAATGTAGAAAAATGTTCATCTTTCTCCCACAGCTGGGAGGAAAAAAAACTGCAGAATATTTCATTCCTGAATGTGAGCATAAAACAGTCGACTATTGAGATTTCTAATCACTGAGATTGGAGAAATGGGAGCTAGAAAATTCCCCAGTTTTTCACCTATTTTTTCTGCTGAGTACCAGCAGGACCACCCCTGCTCTGACAATATTTGCAGCTCCATTCTCTCACCATGAGAATACACTCCCAAGCCATCCAGCGTATGGGAAGCACAGCCCGGCCTTGGATACGATAATAGTCCCCAGCATAGAGGTTCCGGCTCATGCCAAAGTCTGCAATCTTGATAGTGAACCCTTCGCCCACCAGGCAGTTTCGTGTAGCCAGGTCCCGGTGCACAAAGTTGAGGGAGGCAAGGAAAGCCATCCCTGAGGCTATCTGGGCTCCCACATGGATCAAAGTTGGATAGCTGAGCAGTAAGGAGAGAAAGAATGAGAGAGAATGAGGCACGTCAATAATTTATTTTATTTATTTATTTATTTACTCCATTTGTATACCGCATTTATCAGCCGTGACCAGCGACTCAATGCGGTTTACAGTAAAAGTTGTGCACACTAACAATGTATAAGACAAACATACACAGACGACACACATATAGACATCAACGCCTCGAATAAAATCAGATTCCGTTCTCACATTCCATTGCCATTCCTTGTTCAGTTATGCCGTCTTCCTGAATTTAATTGCAATTGCATAGCTATCCGAACGCCTGCTCAAAGAACCACGTCTTAACCCTCCTCCGAAACACCAGCAACGAAGGGGCCTGCCTGATGTCCGCTGGTAGGGCATTCCATAGCCGAGGGGCCACCACCGAGAAGGCCCTGTCTCTCGTCCCCGCCAACCGTGCTTGTGATGCCGGCGGGACCGAGAGCAGGGCCTCCCCGGACGATCTTAATGTCCTCGCCAGTTCATAGGTGGAGATGCGTTCGGAGAGGTAAGTGGGGCCGGAACCGTTTGGGGCTTTAAAGGCTAAAGCCAGCACCTTGAATTGTGCCCGGTAGCGAATTGGCAACCAGTGGAGCTGGCTCAACAGGGGGGTGGTATGCTCCCTGAGTGCCGCTCCCGTTAACAACCTGGCTGCCGAGCGCTGTACCATCTGAAGCTTCCAGGCAGTCTTCAGGGGCAGCCCCACGTAGAGCGTGTTGCAGTAATCTATGCGGGATGTGACGAGAGCGTGGACTACCGTGGCCAAGTCCGGCTTCCCAAGATACGGGCGCAGCTGGCGCACGAGTTTTAATTGTGCAAATGCTCCCCTGGAAACCGCTGAAACCTGGGGTTCCAAGCTTAGCGAAGAATCCAGGGTCACACCCAAGCTGCGAACCTGCGTCTTCAGGGGGAGTGCGACCCCGTCCAGCACAGGCTGTAACCCTATACCCTGTTCGGCCTTACGACTGACCAGGAGTACCTCTGTCTTGTCTGGATTAAGTTTCAATTTGTTCACCCTCATCCAGTCCGACACAGCGGCCAAGCACCGGTTCAGGACCTGGACAGCCTCCTTAGTAGTAGGTGGAAAGGAGTGACAGAGTTGGACGTCATCTGCGTACAGATAACACCGCACCCCGAAACTCCGGATGATCTCTCCCAACGGCTTCATGTAGATGTTAAATAACATGGGGGACAATATTGAACCCTGCGGGACCCCACAAGTCAATGGTTGTGAGGCCGAGCAGTTGTCCCCCAGCAACACCTTCTGGGTGCGATCCTCTAGGAAGGACCTGAGCCACTCTCTAAAGATAACAATCTCTAAAGACACTGTAAGCTACTGTATGCACAGTGCTTGGCTTTAGCATACAAAACTAATCAAATACATATACATAGGTTCTTGTGGGTTTTTTCGGGCTATATGACCATGTTCTAGAGGCATTTTTTCCTGACGTTTCACCTGCATCTATGGCAAGCATCCTCAGAGGTAGTGAGGTCTGTTGGAATTAGGAAAATGGGTTTATATATCTGTGGAATGACTGGGGTGGGGCAAAGAGCTCTTCTCTGCTGGAGCTAGGTGTGAATATTTCAACTGACTACCTTCATTAGCATTTGAAGGCCTGGCTGAGCCTGGGAGAATCTTTTGTTGAGATGTGTTAACCATGAAAATGAACAAAATCTGGCTACCAGTATTAAAAAAAACTCTAAAATTACTACAGCAAAACAGCAGAGAGGAAACAACCAGGCACAGCTTAACAGCACAGAGAAGGCCCTGTCCCTCGTCCCCACCAAACGCGCCTGCGTTTACAATATACAATAATATATTGTATTATTAGTATTATATTGTATTACATTATAGTATTATTACCAATATTATATGTGTATGCAAGATATTATAATATTAGCACAGCACAATATTAGTATTACTATACTGTTGCTGGGGAAAGGGGCTCCCAACTGATGACCCAGGAGACATGGTGGAACTCTGTCTTCCTGGCTCCTCTTCTTCACTCCGGCTCCAGAGTGTTAGTTGGTGCTGGGGGGAGGAGCTCCCAACCAATGACCCGATGACTAAAGGTAAAGGTAAAGGTAAAGGTTTTCCTCTGACATGAAGTCCAGTCGTGTCCGACTCTGGGGTGTGGTGCTCATCTCCATTTCTAAGCCGAAGAGCCGGCGTTGTCCGTAGACACCTCCAAGGTTATGTGGCCAGCATGACTGCATGGAGTGCCATTACCTTCCCGCCGGAGCGTTATCTATTGATCTACTCACATGCACGATGACTACATTATTTATTATTATTATTATTATTATTATTATTATTATTATTATTATTATTATTATTATGTAGCGATAGTCATTAATTAAAAAGATCCACAACAATTGGTTTAATATCCCAGTTGTATGCCCATCGGAATACAGATATAAAGTGCTAAGTAACAAGTGGAAAAAGTATATCAAGCCCAGCTCTAAAGTTTTTAAAAAGTATATTATTTTATTCATGCTTTTCACAGTTTTGCGGAGGTCCTGTGCTCCTAACTGCTGTGAAAGGGTCTACAGTATTCCATGCCTAAAGGTCTCATACTGAAATTTTTTCCAACCCTAACTATGAATATAGGTGTTTTGCTTTTAAGTTCTCAGGATTAATACCTGATGGTTGGTTTCCCACTGGGGCTGCCTCCCAGCTTGTCTTCCAGCTCATGCCCACTGAGGAACTGGTTGAGGTCGCCATTCTCCATGTACTCCGTGATCATACACAGTGGATCGTCCTGGACGCACACACCTAGTAGCCGCACAATGTTGAGGTCTTTGAGGCGCGACATGATCTTCACCTCTTTCAGGAAATCATTCCTTTGTTGGCAGGAAGAAGAGGAGACGGTGAGGTGAGGAGTGGAAATGAGAGGATACCTTATCTGCAGTGAACTCTGCACATTTGTATATTCACAGAAAGAAGATATGTAGCTATAATGATTAAAACACACTACCAACCCTCAAATATGAAACAGGAACTAACACTACAGTTGTCCCTCCACATTTGCACTTTTGAGTTTTTCAGACTTGATTATTCACAGATTTGATTTAAAATGTTCTCTAAGAATCTCTAGTTCTTTCAATATGACTCTATAGTCAACTTCCTCCAGTTTTGCTGGAGGGTTTAGACATTTCTAGAGAGAACATCTCTCTTGGACTCTTCTGATCCTTCAATATAATTCTATGTTCACCTCCCAGTGGAGGTTGATCACAGGAATGTACTAAAAGACCTGGAAATGTCTAAAGAAGTTTTCTCTCAGGGAAAAAAAACAATTTTTTTATTCAGTTTTTCATTTTCAGAGGGGTCCTGTGCCCTTAATCAATAATTGGGTTTGTTCTATGGCATGTTGGTTTAACGTCCATTTGTACTTGGGACAGTGCCTTCCACAAACCATCACTTTGGTCTTAGTTTATTGATAGATATTCTTCTTAGCAATATTTGCTGAAAGCCTTCAAGAGGTTTTTGAGACCCAACCGAGAAAGGGGTAAGAGCACTAAATCATCTGAATACATCAGGATGAATATCTTTCTGTTCCTGATTGCTGGTGAAGGAGAGTCAATTTTGGATAAACATGTTACTAAATCATTCATATAGATGTTAAAAAGAGTGGGAGCCAATACACATCCCTGTTTTACTCCACTTGTTGTAGAAAAGGCTTCTGTCAGTGAACTATTTTTGGTGCCTCTAATCAAAGCAAATGTGGAGGGCTGTCGTAAGGATACTAATACCAATACACTTACAAACTAAAGAATTCTGATCACTCCCCAAAACTGCAATGAAAGAAGGAAAAACCAAGTCCATAAATGGTTTCATATTATTCCCAAAACACTCGCTGGAACACCTCAGCAAGTGAGAGTCCAAAAGTGGCAGGCTCAAACCCAGAGCCTCAATCAATGGCTGATACTAAATGAGAGACTTCCCCCCTGGGCACACAGAAGACTGGGCAACTTGGAAGGCGCTGAACAGACTGCGCTCTGGCACCACGAGATGCAGAGCCAACCTTAAGAAATGGGGCTTCAAAGTGGAATCCACAACATGCGAGTGTGGAGAAGAGCAAACTACAGACCACCTGCTGCAATGCAACCTGAGCCCTGCTACATGCACAATGGAGAACCTTCTTGCAGCAATGCCAGAAGCACTCCAAGTGGCCAGATACTGGTCAAAGGACATTTAATCAACTACCAAGCTTGCAAAATCTGCCTTTTGTATGTATGTATGTTTGTTTGTTTGTTCTGTAAAAAATGTAACATAACTGTTCGGTTGCCTGACACGATAAATAAATTCCCAAAACTCCACAAATAGTTTCCAAACATTCAAACAAAAATCTTCAACTGGTTTATCTTTTAAAATACACGTTAATTTGGCACTCTGAAGCAACACAGCAACTTTAACAATCCAATAACCAGCTCAGAGTTTAACTTTAAAAAATACCTGTTGAAAACCAGAAATTGACTTTCTACATGCACATTCTGTGATATTTGACAGGCCATGTGTCCCTTTACACAGCAGAGGAGGCATCTGTGCTGTAGAATGAATGTAGTTTGACACCACTTGAACTGCAATGGCTCAATGCTATAGAATCACGTGAGTTTGTAGTTTGGTAAGGCCACCAGCACTCTTTATCAGAAAACTAAAAACCCTGTAAAACTACCATTATTTCATAGCATTAAGCATGGCAATGTAGTTGTTTATTTGCCTATATGTATATACAGCATTGAATTTGTCTTTGTGAGGCAGCCCTGAGTCCCCTTTGGGGTGAAAAGAGTGGGGCACAAGTGCAGTAAATAAATAAATCACAACTCTATCTAGGCAGAGAAAGCGGTAAAAACTCACCTTGCATTTTTAGTGGCATCAGAGCGGAGAATCTTCACAGCCACAAGGAGAGGCCGCCCTTTGCGCACATTGAAGGGGAACTCCAAGCTTGGCAGGTCTTGAGGGTTCTCCACCTCACACAAATGGACCTTAGAAGAAATGAACCCCGAGAAATTTTAGGAAACAGTGAAGAAGCTACAGCTGTGAAAGAGGCAGGCTCCTTCCCCGTTCCCCCATCTCTGGGACTTTCTGTCATTGACAAGTGCCTTATCCAAAGTGGCACCCACCAGATATGTTGGACAACATCCTCATACTGCTTGGGAATGATAGGACTTAGGGTTCAACACATTTGTTAGGTGTCAGGTTGATATTTTCACACATAGAGGAGGAATAAGTTACCAAAATCTCATTCATTTTAGAGGGATTTAGGTCGGATTTTAGTCCCAGGTTTGGTAAGTGTGTTCATCTATCCTAACTAGAAGCTTTCCGGGATTTTCCCAGCTTCAGTTCCTCTGCTCCTCCAGATAATAATAATAATAATAATAATAATAATAATAATAATAATAATAATAATCTTTATTTTTACCCTGCCACCATCTCCCCAACAGGGACTCGGGGCGGTTAACATGAGGCCAAGCCCAACAATAACAACAAATCAAAATAAAATACATACAACAAATAATAGCATCAAATTAAATATAAACAAAGCAAATTAATACAAAATCAAATACAGGAAATGAAATAAAATAAGAAAAATGTGCACAGTGGGCTATTAAAAGGGTAGAATTAAATATTAAAAAAAACCCTGGGTGAGATGGATGAGTAGGGTGGTATGCCTGGTGGTAGAGATTTCAAGTGGGAACAGCAATGGGGTGAATATCATTGAAGGATGTGATAAAGTGCACCAATGGGCATATTGTGCTGAGCTGGTCATGGTGTGGGGATTGTATTCATGCCTCAAAGGCACAACGAAACAACCAGGTTTTTAGGTTCTTCCTGAAAGCTGCCAAGATGGGCGCTTGCCTAACCTCTCCAGGTAGCGAATTCCAAAATGCCACTAAGTAGAGGTTCGAAGATGCCATTTACAACTAATGGAATTGTAATATGTTACACAGAGGAGAGGTTACATTTTAAAACGGGCAAAAGTGAAAGCAATGTGTTGGTGTAAGAAATAACACTAAGTAGCAAAATTTGAAAAAAATCTGCTCCTAGTTTGAAAGTGTTATTTCTTGTTTAATTGTGCGGTGCGTACTTTGTAAGTACTTGTTATACTCCAGAAACTTTGTTTCTGTGGATGCCACACACTATCTTAAATAGGAGCCCCCGGTGGCGCAGTGGGTTAAAGCCCTGTGCTGGCAGGACTGAAGACCGTCAGGTCGCAGGTTCGAATCCGGGTAGAGGCGGATGAGCTCCCCCAATTAGCTCCAACTCCTCATGCAGGGACAAGAGAGAAGCCTCCCACAAGGATGACAAAACATCAGAAATCATCCGGGCGCCCCCTGGGCAACGTCCTTGCAGACGGCCAATTCTCTCACAACAGGAGCGGTTGCTCCTGACATGACAAAAAAAAACTATCTTAAATTGGTTGAGACTCAATGAGATATTCATTGAAAAACTATAGCAAAATGTGCTGCAATATGTCTCAAAAGAACCAAGTTTTTACAGTTTAATAAACTTTTCCCATGTTTTATGATACAATCACTTAGGAATTGACATTTATAACCCAGGGGGGAAATCATGAAACATAGTGTAATGTCTTCTCATCAGTCCTCTCTTTTAAAATGTAACATACAATAATCATAATGAAATAATATTAGCAAGAAGTAACAATTGTAATAGGAATGCTTTGTTTAGAAACAGCAACAGTTTCATATGCAAACTATCATTATTATAAGTCAGTGCAGGGAGTCTTTTTAAGGGGTACATCTCAATGTGTTGTAATTTTATCTTAATATTGAGTTTGCAAAAGATTACACCTTTTAAAACAAATGGAATTTAAGTAAGAAACACTGTTTAACTGTGTTTTAACTTTTCTATTACTAGGTATTTAGCTTAATCTTGTCTTAGTGTTGATGTATGCCCCCTTTGATTCCCATGTTGAGAGAAATGTGAATTACAATAATCAAGTATGTGTTAAATAAGTAAGTGCACTGAACTTCAAAAAGGGAATTTAAAATGTACTTCAGATAGGGGGAATTCTGGGATAGCAGTATTGTGGTTGTTGTTGTTGTTATGTTTGTTTAGGGGCTGTAGTGGCACAACAGGTTAAACCATTGAGTTGCTGAACTTGCTGACCAGAAGGTTGGCGGTTTGAATCTGCAGGACGGGGTGAGCTCCCGCTGTAAGCCCCTGCTCCTGCCAACCTAGCAGAACGAAAACATGCAAATGAGAGTAGATCAATAGGTACTGCCTTGGTGGGAAGTTAAACAACAGTGCATGCAGTCATACTGGCCACATGACCTAGAAGATGCCTACGGACAATGCAAGCTCTTCGGCTTAGAAAGTGAGATGAACACCATCCCCAAAGCTGGAGATGATATCTGTGTATCTGTGTTTCATTGTTTTGAGGCACTGAATGTTTCCTTGTGTCTGTTATATACTAGAATCCACCCTGAGTCCCCTCGGGGAGATAAGACAGAATACAAATAAAGTGTTGTTGTTGTTGTTATAACCTGCTTTTTCTCTCCAGAAGGAAACTCAAACCAGCTAACATTAAAGCATTACTATGCAATTTAAAATATACAAATATTAAAACATCATTAAACATCATTAGAACTGAAAACAATTCAGATTAAATCCATAAAAACATACAAAACTACAGTAGTCCTCCCATTGTTTTTATTAAACTGCATAGATCTTCATTCTCCCCCCTTCCCCCCCCCCAAAAAAAGACAAGAGGTTCATCTTCACTGTAGAATTAATGCTGGCTGACACCATTTTAATTGCTATTACTCAATTCTATGGAATCCTTGGAAGAGTAGTTTGTGAAGCACTAGCAATCTTGAGCAGAGAAGGCCAAAGTATTGTTAGAACTCCCATGATTCCATAGCATTGAGCCATGGCAATTAAAGTTGTGTCAAACTCCATTAATTCTACAGTGCAGATGTACCCAAGAATGGGCCTTCCATTAATAAATCTTTACAATCTTCATCTTCTGCTGCATGGTACTCCTCACCTCTCCAAACTGCCCTTCTCCTAGCTTCTCCTTGAAGATGAGTCGCTCCCTGGGGAACTCTCCTAGCGCCATATCCTTCCCCGTAAGGGCATCTACTGCCACTGCTGGTACAGCATATGTGTTTCCACCAGTCACCCCTTGCAGGTTAATGATGTCAGCTTCGGCATAATGTGGCACATTGTTCTGGAAGCCTGGCTGGCAATTAGCGGTTTCTGGTTCCATGTAATCTGCTCCACATGCTGTAGCTGGAAAGAGAGAAACCACAGTTGAGTTCATGCTCGTACATGTGTGGATGTTGTGCCTTCAAGTCACCTATATATCTGTAGTGACTGCATGAATTTCGCAGGGTTTTCTTAGGCAAGGAATACTCAAATGGTTTTGCTAGTTCCTTCTTCTGGTATGTAGCTTACAGTCATCTATCCAACTACAGGCTGAGCATCCCTTATCCAGAATTCCAAAATCTGAAGTATTTCAAAAGTTGGTTACATGGGTGGCTATGATAGCGAAATCTTGGCTTTCTGGTAGATCATTGTACACATACTTTGTTTCATGCATAAGATTATTTAAATCATTGTTTACATTTACCTTCAGGTATAAAATGTATACCTGAAAACATACAAATGTGAGTAGATCAATAGGTACTGCTCCAGCAGGAAGGTAACAGCACTCCATGCAGTCATACTGGCCACATGACATTGGAGGTGTCTATGGACAATGCTGGCTCTTCGGCTTAGGAATGGAGATGAGCACCAATCCCCAGAGTCAGACACGACTGGACTTAATTAAAAGCAGGATGCATCCTAGCATCACAGGATTGATTGCTCGCTCTGATCTATCTATGTTTGTGTGTATATAACTTTTTTTTCTGTTGGTACTGAATTTTGTGTGCAGCTTACAATCAATGGCATCTTAGAATCAAAGACATATAGTGAGGGAACTTCATGTTTAGACTTGAGTTCCATCTCCAAGATATCTCACTATACATGTCTACACAAATACAGATATTCCAGAATCCAAAACACTTCTGATCTCAAAGATTTTGGATAAGAGGTGCTCAACCTATACCAACCAGGTATATGCTCCACCCCAACCGTGGCTGCTTTTATAGCTCTAGGCTAGCTGCATTTTGGCTTTGGACCAATGAGATGCTGTGTAAATTCTCAGCCCTGCCCCAACCATCCCATCTGCCCCAGAAGTTGCCGCATCACAGAACCTGCAAAGCTAAAGAGTTAAGCAAGAAGGGTTAGCCATGCACAGCAAAGACAAGAGGGAATTGAACTGGGGCACAGATGTGATGTAGAAAGAGCAATGGAGACAAACAGCACCCTTCGAGGGAGGGAGGGAGGGAAAGAAACTGCGAAGGCAAAAGGCTCCGATTAGCGTGGAGTATGGGTCACCCAGGTCCCCAGCTGCGCCACGTGGAAGCTTGGCGCCCTCCTTACCATTGGTGTTGATGGGCTTAACCCGGCTGGGTGGCGGGAAAGCAGGCCTTTCCATGGGCTGGGCATAAGTGGCCAGGAAGAGATGATAAGCCGGGTTGCTGAGCAGCAGAGCTGTCGGGAAAATGGGGAGGGTGGGAGGAGAAGACAAACGGACGAATGAGGAACAGACGGACAGAGAGACGCACACACAAGGGAAGGCATGACACAGAGAAGAGGCAGCGCTTTAGGGATTCCTGTCCCGTTAGGCCTCTTGTCCCAAACAGAGCAGCCAAAGACACAGACACCAAATGACACACACTATAAAATGATGGACACATCCTATCATTAGCACCTTGGACAGAAGGAAATGACTTTTGAGTCTGGGATATTAAAGATCACCTGCCCTGGCTCACTAAGTCCTCTCTTTCTGAAGGGATTCTCAAGAATTTCATCTCCATTGACTCATTACTCTTCCCAGGGTGCATCTACACTAATAATTAATGCAGTTTGACACCACTTTAAGAGCCATGACCTTCTGCCATGGAATCATAGGAAATGTAGTCTGATGAGACACCAGCACTCTTTGGAAAAGAAGGCTAAAGGCCTTGTAAAACTACAGCTTCTATGATTCCATAGCATTCAGCCATGGTAGCTAAAGCAGTGTCAAACAGCATTAAATGTACAGTGTACATGCAACTCCAGTTTCCAAACCAGACACAACACATTAAAAAGGACACTGACGGACTATGACACATATGGAGAAGTGATCAGAATGAGGAGTGATCTGGAAACCAAGTCCTATTCTCAGAGCAGTGTGAGGAACAATTGAAAATGCCATTTATATGTACAATGGATTTTGAAAAATGAGGAGAGATCAGGGATGGCTAAAGAGCTCACAGCTTCAATCCTTGGCACAACTTGTTATGTCCCATAGTAATCCTGTCAAATTGTAGGCACACTATGAGAAATAATTTTCTGGGTGTTATCATTTTGGGGACAAGAAGCAACAGATTTCTATATGTATGTCATGGGGATATTATTGCATTAACACTCTGGAATAACAAGGTGCTACAGTTAGCCTGGCCATTGAAGCGACGGTTGCCAAAAAAGCATGCATCATGTTTGCAAAGGGGTTGCTAATTCTGAGAGCATCTGCTATAGAATGAATGCAGTTTGACATCACTGCCATGACTCAATGCTATGGAATCCTGAGACTTGTAGTTTACTGAGGTACCAGAACTATTTGGCAGAGAAAGCTTGTAAAACTACAGCTCCCATTATTTCATAGCATTGAGTCAAGTGGCATCAAACTGCATGAATTCTACAATGTAGATACATCCCTAGTCATCTGTGAAAGATCTGAATTGTTCTAGCTCCTTAGATCAGAATTTCCATTGACAGAGTTGCTGCTGCTCCTCCTCCTATTGTTGTTGTGTGCCTTCAGGCTGTTTCCGATTTATGGCAACCCTTATTTATTTATTTATTTATTTACTTCATTTATATACTGCTTTTCTCAGCCCTTGGGCAACTCAAAGCAACCTAAGGCTATATCATGTATGACTCGCCCAAGGTCACTCCATAGCCAAGTAGGGAAACAAACCCTGGTCTCCAGAATCACAATACAACATTCAAATCACTACTACACCACACTGTTTCTTGTTAACTACTGTTGCTTGTTTCCAACCCAATCTGATTCTCTTCACTTTCTGACTTTTCGATAGTTTCACTCTCCTTCCCTCGTTCCTTCATTTGAGCTCGTTCCTTCACCATTGGCATCCTCACCAGAGTTCTCAGTGCTGTGTGGCAAGTCTGGTAGTTTCATGCGTGCCCTGTTGGGCTCCTGATATTCGGTATCTCCCGAGTGGATGCGCTCATAACGATTGGAGTGTCTGTGGGAACCCATTGTGTTGTTGATGACAATGGTGTCACTCGGTGCAGAGAGGTGAACGGTCAGATCATCATCAGAGATTCGGCGTTGAGCCTACAAAAGACAGTCAATGAAGAGAGACAATGACAAACAAAAAAGTCACATGTGTCCAACTCAAGGCCTGTGGGCCAAATTCAGCCTGACATACCATTTTATGCCACTTTCCAGATTCTGGACTATAACTGCTGTATTCCTCAATATTAGACATCATGACTACAGCTGATGGAAATTGTAATTCATTAACATGTATTACAGGGAAAACCAGCTGATTCCTAATCCGTCTAAAACATATTTATTTTATTTATTTACAGTATTTATATTCCACCCTTCTCACCCCGCAGGGGACTCAGGGCGGATTACAATGTACACATATATGGCAAACATTCAATGCCAATTTGACATACAACATATACAGACATACACAGAGGCTATTTAACTTTTTCTGGCCGCCAGGGGAGCTGTCGCTTTCATCGTCCATCTGCGACACTGATGAAGTACTTCCACATTCCCTGCATGCTTTTGCTGGAGTGCTTTGCTGGAGTCTTTTTTTATGGCCTCATAAATTAGTTAATTTAGCCTCCCCACACAAGGTGGTATCTAATTTTCCTACTTGACAGATGCAACTGTCTTTCAGGTTGCAAAGGTCGACAACAGGCTACACAATTGGTTGGAAGCCCACTCCAACCCGGGCTGGCTTCGAACTCATGACCTTTTGGTCAGAGTGATCTTAATGCAGCTGACACTCAGCCAGCTGCGCTACAATCCCGGTAAAACATAGATGTGTGCTTTTCACTTTAAGAACAGACAAGCATCTCGAGCTCTGAGGATTACCTGGGAAGGAATTCCACTGGAGCATTGCAGCACACCCAAATACCTGGGAGTTACCCTGGACCGTGCTTTGACTTACAAGAAGCAGTGCTTGAATATCAAGCAAAAAATGGGTGCTACAAATAATATAATATGAAAGCTGACTGGCACAACTTGAGGATCACAACCAGACACAGTGAAGACATCTGCCCTTGCGCTTTGCTACTCTGCTGCTGAATGTATCTACAGATTCTGCATTCATGGATTCAATGGCCCTTTGAAGGCAACCATAAGACTGATGTGGCCCTTGATGAAAATGAATTTGATACCTCTGTTTTAAGTGGTCTATAGGAAATGTTGCTGAAAGGCAGATAGACACAAACAGATCTGTTACACCTCACTACCTCTGAGGATGCTTGCCATAGATGCAGGTGAAACGTCAGGAGATAATGCCTCTAGAACATGGCCATAGAGCCCGAAAAAACCTACAACAACCCAAATCTGTTACAGCCTCCACATAGTAATTCGGTTTAGCTCCCCTTCCATAAATGAATATGAAGCATTATTAGTTCCTGATGCTCACTCGTTGGCCTGATAGGTGTATTGTGTCCAAATTTGGTGTCAATTCGTCCAGTAGTTTTTGAGTTATGTTAATCCCACAAACAAGCATTACATTTTTATTTATATAGATGAATCCTCCTCATCTTTGAATAGAATAGTTAGAGGCCTTTCTAAATACCCAACAGGAAAATGGCAACTTGCAACCAAGGAGTCTTGGTTCCCTGAGACACTTTTGCCTTTAAAGGAATGACCTTCCATTTATCCACAGATTATATCAAAATCCATAATTTGGTGCTCCAAACCTGCCCTTGATTTATACATGATTATATACAGTAATAACTGAGGAAGAAAGATTCTCTACCAGCAGATATGTGACTAAGAAACACCATTTCTATCCAGGGAACTGGCTATGAACGTCTAAGTTGCCCACAGTCTAATAGCATTGCAGCATGTTTGCTCCAGCCCAGCCTCACTCACCTTCCCCAGAATCTTTTGCCAGTATTGTCGCCAAAGGATGAGGAATATCACAACCAGCAAAAGTAGAATGATGGCTACCAGGCACCCAATCAGGATGGCGGTGTTGCTGTTGTCATCCTTCGGAATGGGCTGGCCCGATTTTGGTCCCCCTTGGCCCTCAAGGTCTTAGAGGAAAAGAAATAATAGATAAATAAAGTCCTACAGTGGCCTCAAATTAGGGTATATATTGGAATATAAGCCGACCCAAAATATAAGACAAGACCCCTAATTTTACCACAAAAACTGGGAAAACTTGACTTGAGTATAAGCCCAGGGTGAGAAATGCAGCCACTATTGATAAATTTCAGAATAAAAATAGATACCAATAAAATTACATTACTTGAGGCATGCAGCTTCTCCTCTCGGCACAGCAACCTAATTGGGTTGCTGTGCCGAGAGGAGAGGCCGCATGCCTTCCTTTCCTCCTCTCTCAACAGAGACACAGCTGGGTCGCTGTGCTGGGAGGGAACGCATGCAGCTTCTCCTCTACTCTCATCATAGCAACCCAGCTGGATTGCTTTGCCAAGAGGAGAGGCCATGCACCTTCCTGTCCTCTTCTTTTGGCACCGAGATCCAACTGGGTTGCTGTGCTGAGAGGGAAAAAGAGGAAGGCATGCAGCTTCTCCTCTCCTCTTGGCACAGCAACCCAGCTGTGTTGCTGTACCAAGAGGAGAGGCCAAGCCTGGCCCAGCAGGAAGGTGTATGGCTGATTAGCCACGCACCTTCCTCTCCTCCCCTCTTGACACAGCAACTCAGCTGGATTTCTGTGCCAAGGGGAGAGGAGAGGCTGCGCACCTTCCTTTCCTCCTTTCTCAGCACTGAAACCCAGCTAGGTTGCTGTGCCAAAAGGGGTGGAGGCGCGCAGTTGGTATAAGCCCTGCAAAGGGCTCCTTTCACCCCCACACCTTCTCGTCAGGACCCTCACTCAAGTATAAATATACTGAAAAACTCAGCTTATACACTCAAATGTATTGGGTGAGACCCCATTTACAATGCCATATAATGCAGTTCAATGTATTGTGAAACTTATTATACGGCAGTGTAGACGGGGCCTGAGATTCGGGTCTGATGCAAGCTTTGTGGGATACATACCTTGGATTGTAAGGTTTGGGGTGATGCCAGCTTTCTCATTCAATGCCGATCCTAGGGCTGGGGAGAGTGGAGTGCCACGGCCTGATGCTCGAGGTTGAGCCACTACTGGGGGACGGTGACTCGATGCTGAGAGAGTGGGATCATCTACAATGTCTGCAAGGTAAAAAAACAAAAAACAAAAAGATGAAGGAGAAAGGAACAGGAAAACCATGCAGAAAGCAGAGAGGGAAAGCAGCAAGCAAAGCAAGCATGGATTTGCAAGGATTTGCAATTTAATTTAATTAAATCTGAAAACCACTTGCTTAAAGTTTGAAGAAAACCCAGAGTGGATAAATTATGTGCTATGCTAATAATAATAATATCAAACTACAAGAAAGGAGATTCTATCTGAACATTAGGAAGAACTTCCTGACTGTGAGAGCCATTCAGCAGTGGAACTCTCTGTCCCAGACTGTGTTGGAGGCTCCTTCTTTGGAAGCTTTTAAACAGAGGCTGGATGGCCATCTGTTAGGGGTGCTTTGAATGCAATGTTCCTGCTTCTTGGCAGAATGGGGTTGGACTGGCTGGCCCATGAGGTCTCTTCCAACTTTATGATTCTATGATTCTATAATATATAATATAATATATTGTATATACATATAATATTTATAATATTATAATGTAATACAATATAATACTACTAATAATACAATATTATAATTATATATTTTATATTACATGTAATATTACTAATAACATTACAATACAATACTGATGTTGTACTATGCTAATAATATAATATATTGTGTGTGTGTGTACACACACACACACACACACATATATATATCATAAGCTGCTTTGAGTCCCATTGGGATGAGAAGGATGGCATATAAATGGCGTAAATAATTAAATAATAATGAAATAATCTGCCTCATTGGGAGACTGTCAACAGCTACCATGGCTGTGGAGTACGAGAATATCAAAAAGAGGGGCAAAGGAACACCGGCTCACCTGAGAGGAAGGCTATTTCACTGAAGAGCATCCACTCGCCAGCAAAGTGAAAATGGCACTGGACAAACAGGCCCAGGCGTCCTTCCAGGGGCACCGTGAGGATCCGGGAGCTGGGGTTCCTGACATCAACCGCAAGCTGTTGTGAGACAGGGACGGGTTCCCAGGCCGTGGCCAGGCTGCGCTTGAAGAGGCAGTCCACCTTCCGGAAGATGCTCACCCCGTGCGTATGCATGTTGTTGCAGTGAACCTGGAAAGGGCACAATGGTGCAGGAGACGTGAATAGGGGAAAGGAATACTCAGGAGACATAGGAGAGCACCTTCCTCTACAGCTCTGATCTACTTCAAGAAACATTTAAAAAAAGAACAGAGGCACCAGATAAAAGGCAAAGCTGGGTTGCTGTGAGTTTTTCGGGCTGTATGGCTATGTTTCAGCAGCATTCTCTCTTGATGTATCACCTACATCTGTGGCTGGCATCTTCAGAAGTTCTGCTGGCAATAAAGCAAGTGGAGTGTCTATATATCTGTGGAATGTCCAGGGTGGGGAAAAAACATTGTCTGTTTAAAGCAAGTGTGAATGCTACAATTAGAAAGCTTGAATTAGCATTTCAGTAGCCATGAAGCAGCAAAGTCAAGCAGTGTGAGTATCTGCATAGAGGTAGCCTGACATTTGTTTCCTGGAGGCATCCTGTTTGGGAGGTGTTAACTGGCCCTTGATTGTTAGCTGTCCTTAATTCTCCTGTTCCTGAGTGGTGTTCCTTATTTACTGTCTTGATTCTGGTGTTCAGAGCTCTTTAAAGCAAGTGAGAAACTTATTTAAAGTCATTCACTGGTGTATGTACAAAAATGAAGAAATATCTCTCTACAATCAGCCCTCCGCATTGATCGGGGTCATCGAAGCACAATCCTTGCAAAAGTGGGAAAACCTCAAATAAAATGTAACACTTTTTTTTAAAAGCTGGACAGAATATCCCTCTAAGAAACTCTAGGTCATCTAGCATGACTGTATAGTCAGGGTCTGCCAAAACTGACCATAGAATTGCACTGGAGGACAAAGGGATCCAGAGATATATTGTCTCCAGAAGCATGAAGCAGACGTTAACCACAGAGTCACACTGTAAGACCTAGAAATTCCTAAAGTGAAACATTTTAATCAAATCCATAATCATCTGTGTCCATCTGTCTGTCTGTCTGTCTGTCTGTCTGTCTATCTATCTATCTATCAGGTTGTGGCACAGCTGGTTGGGAGTCAGCTGCATTAAAATCACTACTGACCGAAAGGTCATGAGTTCAAAGCCAGCCCGGGTCAGAGTAAGCTCCCGACCATTTGTCTAGCTTGCTGTCAGCCTTTATTTATTTATTTATTTATTTACAGCTTTTATATTCCGCCCTTTTCACCCCGCAGGGGACTCAGGGCGGATTACAGTGTACACATATATGGCAAACATTCAATGCCAAATTTTGACGTACAACATACACAGAGGTTATTTAACTTTTTCTGGCCACCAGGGGAGCTGTCGCTTTCATTGTCCATCTGTGATGCTGATGAAGTACCTCCGCATTCCTCGCATGCTTCCCCGCTGGAGTGCTTCTTTATGGCCTCATAAATTAGTTAATTTTAGCCTCCCCACACTTTTAAGGTGGTACCTTATTTTCCTACTTGACAGATGCAACTGTCTTTCGGGTTGCAAAGGTCAACAACGGGCTACACAATGGTTTGAAACCCACTCCAACCCGGGCTGGCTTCGAACTCATGACCTTTTGGTCAGAGTGATCTTAATGCAGCTGACACTCAGCCAGCTGCTTTACAACCCAAAAGACAGTTGAATCTGTCAAGTAGGAAATTTAGGTACTGCTTATGTGGGGAGGTTAACTTAATGAATTTATGACGCCATAAAAATCTCAAGCAGTATGCAAAAGAATGAGGAAGTACTCCATTGGTGTCACAAGTGGACAGTGAAGCAACAGCTCTACCAGTGGCCGTAATTTGAACACACTCTCATGAAACTGGAAAGTTAAATAGCCTCTGTGTGTCTGTCTATATATGTTGTGTGTATGGCATTGAATGTTTGCCATGTATATATGCATTGTGATCCACCCTGAGTCCCCTGCAGGGTGAGAAGGGAGGAATATAAAAATTGTAAATAAATAAATAAATACATATCTTCACATGGATTTTCTGAATGCTCAAATGCTGGCATTCACTCCATATTTGGAAATTGCTCTTCTCACAGTCCTAGAAATACAGTCATTCCTCAATATTTGCTGTGGTCAGGGACACAAGACCACCTTGAAAGTAAAAATTTATAAATAACAGATTACTAATTTTTTTGCCTGAGAGGATCACCTTTCTAAAAATCTTTAGGTCCTCCAACATGACTCCATGGACATCTGAAAAAAGTCAGATGGAAGACCTAAAGGTTCCCAAGAAGGACATTTTAATAAATGAATGCTAGTTGTTGACCAAAATAAAATATTAATTCATTAATCTTTTAAAAATTCCATGAATACTCACATTTCCAAAAGTTACACCTGCAAATTCAAAGGGTTAGTTGTAACCTTCTTTATAAGCTGAACCTATTGATTCATTTCTTTCTCCCAACATCTACATCATTTGACTTCAGCTTCTTGTGACAGGGCTGGTTCTTTATCCTGCCATCCTATTTATGTCCAACAAAGCTTTCCAAAAAAAAGTTCAGCTCTTCCCTGTGTTTACCTTCATGTAAGTGAAGGCTCTGAGTTGATCGAACTCAAACTCCATCTCAATGAAGCCACCAGGGAAAGAACTGTTCCTCCAGCCCACGTAGTCATATCCCGGCCAAACACGCAGCTCCTTGGTTTGGGTGAAATCGTCCAGGCCTACCACCCCATCGGTCAACTGGCCAAGACCCCCAAAGTGCAACCTGTGATTGGAAGAAAGGCTTAGTTATTCAACAAGAAGAATATAATAATAATATTATAATAATAAATTTTATTTATACCCCGCTACCATCTCCCCAAGGGATGGATGTTTCTGTGGATTGAAGCTACAGTACAGCTCGAAAAAGGCCAAATTTCTACTACCTCTGAGGATGCTTGCCATAGATGCAGGAGAAATGTCAGGAGAGAATGCCTCTAGAAAATGGCCATATAGCCCAAAAAAAACCCTACAACAACCCAAATTTCTAGTTAGGGAATTCAACCTCCTGATGTCCATATTGTTGCTTCTGCTGTCAAAGTTATGTTGCCACTGAAAGTCAGTGGTTTCAGTGGCTTTATTTTAGGTATGGGCAAACTTTGGCCGTCCAGGTGTTTTGGACTTAAACTCACACAATTCCTAACAGCCGGTAGGCTGTTAGGAATTGTGTGAGTTGAAGTCCAAAACACCTGGAGGGCCAAAGTTTACCCTTGGCTGCTTTATATGGGTTATGGAGGGCAATGTTTTAAAAGTCCTTTGAATTATAAAATTATAAGGAATAGACTGGCAGGATTACAGCATTTCATTTCTTTCGGGATGGACGGATTCTGCCTCATTGTTTTTATCAGGCAGGTAGATACCAAAACTGGAGCTGGGGGTGGTGACGACCAACAGGGAGCTCTGGCGTGGACTGGTTCATGAAGTCACGAAGAGCCTGAAATGACTGAACAAATGAACAACAACAAAGATACCAAAACAGCTCTTTGTAATCCACATGTCACTTGTCAGCCACCCTTGGTTTTCAAGCCTGCAATTGTATACGAATGTCTGGTTGTGTGGGCAGGTCGGGGGTGATAATACGGAAAAAAGATACATGCAAACAGAAATGGTTGTAAATGTTATTGCTCCACTGGAGGATACAGAGGTTGCTGAATAACTGAAGGATGTTCTGAATTGTCAGCCCTACAAATTTTTGAGTACAAATCCCTTTCTTGTCTTTATCTTATCCTGTCTTCACAATTATTTTCATTTTGGAGAGTTCAGTGAGGCTGAAGTAGTAACCTGTCTGAGGATCATGCAACTATCCTGTCCCCATATGAGACTTCTCTTTGGTGAGTTTATACAACAAACTGCCTGAAACAACCCCATTCACCACTTGAGGGTGTGAAGGGATGGGTGTGTTGTTTTGTGGTGTGTGAATACAATTTCGTTGTGCTATAACACAATGACAAATAAAAGCTATTCTATTCTATCCTATTCTATCTGACCACCTAACACTGTTCTCTGAGGAGATTAAGGCATGGCTATTTAATATTTTCTGCCAACAGATGACAACATGTCAACTTACCAGGCTACAATGTGACGGTTGAGTTCAATATGCAACTATGGCTAAGAGGTGTCACAATAGCCGTGTTTAAATATTTGGAAGGATGAAGATGGAGCCAGCTTGATTTCTGCTGCTCCAGAAACCAGGAGGAAGAAAAATGGATCCAAACTACAGGAAAAGGATTCCATCTGAATAGCAGGAAGAACTTCCTGGTGGTAAGAGCTATTCAAGTGGAATACTCTACCTCAGCTTATGTGAAGCCTCCTTCTCTGAAGGTCTTTAGATAAAAACCGGATGACCATTTATTGGGAGTGCTCTCTTTGTGTATTTCTGCATGGCAGAATGGGTTTGAACTGGATGGCCCTTGTGCTTCCTTCCAACTCTATGATTCTATGAACTACTGTCATCATCTAAACTTGCTCATTGAAGCTAAAGATTCCAGTACAAATATTCATGTTCGGAGACAGAATGGAACAACAGGTCCACTCACTCACTTGTGGACGCTGTGCCCATCGTAGGTGGAGTCATTCAGGTAGACAGGTTCAGGGGCAAGAGGCATGACTTGGCCTAGCGGAGCTGTATATGACTGAAGGCCATCTGTGAGGGAAAATGGAGACACACATAACATAGTTAGCAGAAAAACTCCACCTGGGAACCTGGGAAAGATGCAATTCTAAAGTATGGCAAAGGTATGTGGAGAGAAAAACACTAAAGTTATGTATGCCAAATATTAGTCAATAAAATTGGAACTTCAAAACTACCTTGTGCTGAGCGAAAATCACTAGGTCCTTAAGCCTAGCTTCATCCCAATAGTGGTTTCTCAGGGCCTTGGGACAGAGTGCTTTCCCACCATGTATAAATGGATCATTTTGGAACTCGACACACCAGGGTGTAAACTGGACAACTTCTGCTTGCAAAGTATGTGCTCTCACACTGAGCTATAACCTCATATCCAATGTAGACATAGAGCAGGCATAATACAATTTTTGGTGTCAACTGGGAACAACTTAATTCAGCAACTACAGCAACAAACTAAATGCTTTGAAAGCTAAGAAAATAAGGTCAGAAAACCATGGCTCTGTATAAATCTCATGCCGAATTACACATTCATGCATGGCAGAAAAGGCCTGGACTGAATGGTCTTTGTGGTCTCACCCAACTTAATGATTTCATGCTGTTAAGGAAAGTTTTACCATGATTTGGTGTGACATGTGAAGTGGCCAAACACAGTTTGTAGCTGGCTGGACTACAGAAGCCTTTGGAAAACACACACCAAGCCAAATCAGACCCACCCACTTCCTCACATATCACACCAAAAATGATTTCTCATTTCACAAGATTCTTTCAGGTTCCCCAAGATGTCCCAGGTCAGCTTATCATTTTTGTTTTCTCTGGAAGTTGGATACACTTCAAAAAGTAGAGCACTAAAACCAGCCACTGTTTGCTTTTATGCAAATTTCCCAGAGGGTGTGGGCATTTGAGACATTAATGGAAATAAGGATGGCCCAGGAGCATTTTATTTTGTTTTGAGGCATACCAGCCTTCCAATTATTACACCTCAGTTTTCAAAGGATTAGACGAGATGTTTTCCAGGAACAGTACTAAAAAACTCCACAAACAGCTGAATGTTACCATATTTCTAGGGAAGAGTACAAAAGTTAATGGACTCACCTTTCCAAACGCAACCATAGAGCTCCACACGCAGGCAGACACTCATGACGCGGTCTGCACGTGGGAAGAAGCGGACATATCGGGCGATGACTGGTGGTCCCAGATCCTTCAATACCACATCCTTCGTGTTATCGTTACCTGAAATAACCTAAGGGACAGGGAGTAGCCATGAAGGGGCATCATTTTTCTGTCACTTAAGAATCCATAAAAAACAACTCTAATGTGGGACAAAGATTTAAAACAGGATGACGCTCTTTACATGGTAAATACTGCTCTGTCAGAACCCCTGAAAAGTCATCACAGTTTGAAAAACATATGTCTTAGGCTATAGCTTCCATATTTTTTTTTGTCGTGTCAGGAGTGACTTGAGAAACTGCAAGTCGCTTCTGTTGTGAGAGAATTGGCCGTCTGCAAGGACATTGTCCAGGGGATGCCCAGATTATTTGATGTTTTATCATCCTTGTGGGAGGCTTCTCTCATGTCCCCGCATGAGGAGCTGGAGCTGATAGAGGGAGCTCATCTGCCTCTCCCCAGATTCGAACCTGCAACCTATCGGTCTTCAGTCCTGCCGGCACAGGGGTTTAACCCACTGCGCCACCAGGGGCTCCTTATAGCTTCCATAATCCATAGTCAGCATGGGCACTGGCAGATGGATTTTGGGAACTCTAACTCAGATTTGTCAATGGTATCTAACTTAGTAGCTCAGCCTGGCATGCCAGGAGAACTCTTATCAATAAGACATATTGGGTCAGTCCAGACAGAGAAGTAAACCTATCTCTGGACCTACTCTAATGAGTTGTTGCCAGTTATTTGCAAGCTCTAATTGGAATAATAATTAATTGTGGAACTAGTCAACTGTGAAAAAAACTTTCCAAACACTACTTCAAAGGGCATCAGAAAGAGCCAGCAAGAAGGAACAGGCTTAACAGAAGTCCTAAAAACATATCACAGGGTTTTCTTGCCAAAACAATTTTTGCCATTGACTTCCTCTAAGGCTGAAAATGTTTGGTTTGCTCAAGATCACCAGGTGGGTTTCCATGGGCAAGAAGGGAATTTGAACCCTGGCCTTCAGAGCCAGAGTTCAAAACTCAGATCACTACACCACACTAGCTTTCATAAGAATGCTTTTGACTGTGAATGCTTTTCCAGTATTAAAAAACTCTAAAATTACAACAGCAAAACAGCAGAGAGGAAACAACCCGGCACATCTTAACACCTCTCAACAAAACATTTTCCCAGGCTCAGCCAGGCCTTCAAATGCTAATGAAGGTGGTCAGCCAAAACATTCACACCTAGCTTCAGCAGAGAAGAGCTCCTTGCCCCACCCCAGTCATTCCACAGATATATAAACCCATTTTCTACTTCCAACAGACCTCACTACCTCTTAGGATGCTTGCCATAGATGCAGGCGAAACATCAGGAGAAATGCCTCTAGAACATGGCCATATAGCCCGAAAAAACCCACAAGAACCTAATGATTCCAGCCATGAAAGCCTTCGACAATACTGTTGACACTCTTTGCTCAACTTCCATTCAGCATATATTGACTCCTCTCTACCATTGGCAGCTATGTCTCTTGGAGAATGGTTATTTAGACTTATAAACCATGTCACTAATACTCACAAATCAATGGAAGAATGCTTTTGCTGAATCACTTTAGTCCTTTGCTTACCTCATTGCCCCACCGGTCCCGCCAAGGCATCCAGCGGTGTCCATCGCGACTGTAGTGGAGCCGGTAAGCACGGGCAAACTCTTTGCCATGGCCATTGGCATGGCGCCCCTGGGTCCCAACCAAAGTCAAGAAGTGCAGCCGACGCAGATCAATCTCCAAATACTCAGCATCGTTAGGGTAGACGGGTCCTGCAGGGCACCACGCTCCATCTCCCTCATTCAGTGCTAACCTAGGTGGCGAAGAGAGAGCGCAAGCTGATTATAAATAACATATGACTGGCCTTTAAACATAACACTCTGATTGTGTGTTCCTGAATAGCAGGACTGGGTGGCTCTTCTGGTCTCTTCGATTCTATGATGTTTAAATCCCTTTTGCATCAGACACAATAATCCAATTGACCCTTACATTTGTGGGTTTAACTTTTGTGAATGTGATTACGTATACATTTGGTTAATATGTTTTTTTTCCAAAATCCACAGCTCATCAAGCACAACAATGTCTGTCAGATAATGTGTGGTGTGGTGGAGGCTCCTTCTTTGGAAGCTTTTAAGCAGAGGCTGGATGGCCATTTGTCAGGGGTGGTTTGAATGCAATATTCCTGCTTCTTGGCAGGGGGTTGGACTGGATGGCCCATGAGGTCTCTTCCAACTCTTTGATTCTATGATTCTATGTAGAGATTCCTAGACAGATACACTCTTAGGTAAAATAACAGTGGGTTTTTTTTTTAATTCAACATTTTCCCACTTTTGCAGGAGTCCTGTGTCCCCTACCATCACATGAAAGTGGAAGGCCTTCCCAAAGTAACTCTACCAGGATCCGACAGAGATGAATAAAAAGAATGAACTGAAGTCTCATTCTTTGATAATTGGAAATTACTCAAAATCTACACATTTCTGCAGATGTGCACACAGGCACATAGTATCCTTTCTTTCAATACTTCATTAAACACAACTTGCTGTAGAGGTCATAAGAATGGTTTAAAGGAGTAGAAACTTGTTATTTGAATTTAAAATAAATATGGCTTTGTTTTGAGTACTGAGTTTTCCAATTGCACAGCTTGATTGCAGATTTCAGGATACAATCACTGCAGTTAGGGCAGGCATGAGCAAACTTCAGCCCTCCAGGTGTTTTGGACTTTAACTCCCACAATTCCTAATAGCCTAGCGGCTGTTAGGAATTGTGGGAGTTGCAGTTCAAAACACCTGGAGGGCCAAAGTTTGCCCATGCCTGGGTTAGGGGCACAAGATTCCTGCAAAAGTGGATAAATTATCTATTAAACACTCAACAACACTCTACTGATCTGAGATAACACCTCTCTGGGAATCTCTAGGGTAGGCATTCTCAAACTGCGACTCTCCAGCTGTTTGGGCCTTCAACTTCAAGCATTCCTGACAACTGACAAGCTTGTTAAGGCTTCTGGGAGTTGGAGGCCCAAACAGCAGGAGGGCTGCAGTTTGAGCACATCTGCTCTAGGGCCTCCAGTGCAACTGTATGAACAACATCTAGCAGAAATTGATCATAGGGTTGTGCTGGGAGGCCAGAGATTCCTGGGGAGAACATATTAATCAATTCTATAAATAATCAAATCCTCAAAAGTCACATCTGCAATTGTGGAGGGCCAAGTATACAACTCCAAGAACTTCGGGATTTTTGCTCAGTTTTATTAAAATTTGAGAAATTAACTTTTTAAGATTACAACTGTCAGGATCCCAAGGTGTACAACCTCCAGCTGGAATATTATAGGAACCACAGTGCAAAAGGATAGCTTTCTTAACTACCAGTATCCACAACTAAAAGAGATTTTTCAAAGTATGTAAAAAAAAAGTCAGAATTTCTGAAAACTATATACATGAAATTGTTTATTAGTTCAGTCGCTTCTGACTCTGCGAGACCTTATGGACCAGCCCATGCCAGAGCTCCCTGTCGGCTGTCACCACCCCTAGCTCCTTCAGAGTCAAGCCAGTCACTTCAAGGATAGCCTCCATCCATCTTGCCCTTGGTCAGCCCTTCTTCCATTTTCCTTCCATTTTCCGCGGCTTCATTGTCTTCTCTTTTCCTGTCTTCTCATTATGTGACCAAAGTACTTCATCTTTGCCTCTAATATCCTTCCCTCCAGTGAGCAGTCAGGCTTTATTTCCTGGAGTGTGAACTGGCCGGATCTTCTCGTGGTCCAAGGCACTCTCAGAACTTTCCTCCAGCACCACAGTTCAAAAGCATCTCTCTTCCTTTGCTCAGCCTTCCCTAAGGTCCAGCTCTCACATCCATAGGTTACTATGGGGAACACCATTGCTTTAACATTGCGGATCTTCCTTGCCAGTGTGATGTCTCTACTCTTTACTATTTTATCAGGATTGGCCATTGAAATTAAGTGTTTACGCTAAATTCAACTTTTTGCTAAATACATCTTTTTTTTAAAGGTAACTTTCCAAGCACTTCTTCAGAAAGCATAGGAAAGAGTTGTTGTAGGTTTTTCAGGCTGTATGGCCATGTTCTAGAAGAATTTTCTCCTGACATTTCGCCTGCATCTATCTAAGGGGTTGTGAGGTCTGTTGGAAACTAAGAAAATTGGGTTTATATATCTGTGGAAAGTCCGGGGTAGGAGAAAGAACTCTTGTCTGCTGGAGGTAGGTATGAATGTTTCAACTGACCACCTTGATTAGCATTTAATGACCTGACAGTTTTTAGGTGTGCCTTGTTACTACCTGGGGGAATCCTTTGTTGAAAGTGATTAGCTGTTCCTGATTTTTTCTTCTCTGGATTTTCCCTGTGTTTGAGTTTTGTTCTTAATTTACTTTTTTAATTTTAGAGTTTTTTAATACTGGTAGCCAGATTTTGTTCATTTTCATGGTTTCTTCCATTCTGTTGAAACTGTCCACATGCTTGTGGATTTCAATGGCTTCTCTTTGTAGTCTGACATGGTGGTTGTGGATGTGGTCCAGCATTTCTGTGTTCTCAAATAATATGCTGTGTCCAGGTTGGTTCATCAAGTGCTCTGCTATTGCTGACTTCTCTGGTTGAAGTAGTCTGCAGTGCCTTTCATGTTCTTTGAATTGTATCTGATCAATGCTGCTGTGCTTGGTGGTCCCTATGTAGACTTGTCCACAGCTGCATGCTATATAATAGACTCCTGTAGAGATGAAAGGATTCCTCTTGTCCTTTGCTGAACATAACATTTGTTGCTTAGTGGGTCTGTAGATTGTTTGTATGTTTTGTTTCTTCATCAGTAACAGACCTCACAACCTCTGAGGATGCCTGCCATAGATGCAGGCGAAACATCAGGAGAGAATGTCCCTAGATCATGTCCATACAGCCCGAAAAACCTACAACAACCCAGTGATTCCAACCATGAAAGCGTTTGACAATATATGGGAAAGAGGTCAGCAATAAGGAGTTGTCTTGTTAAATGCCTTCATGGGAATATCTATAATCAATGCTATGGAATTAAAGGAAGCTGTAGCTTTACAAAAATCTTTAGATTTGCTGCCAAAGTTTGCTGATGCCTCACCAAACTATAAACCCCAGGATTCCATAACAATGATCCATGGCAGTTAAAGTGGTGCCAAACTGCTTTAATTCTACAATACAGATGTACCCTATGTCTGGTCTGACTTGTGCTAAAATGTTTTTAAAAGACTTTAAAAATAAAATGCTGAATCCAGATGTGGGTGCTCAATAAAATAATAGACAGGTGGTTCAAATGCCTTTACTATCCTCATCACCTGCTGTGCTTGGCGGCCGTTGAGTCGGACCATGAGCTGGAGGCAGAGAGGGCTTCATCAGGGATGGCACGATCTTGCATGCCCAGTGCATAGCGGCACTTAGCTGTAAGGGGGAAGAAAAGGAAAACAGTGAAAGCTATTAATATTTCATTCATATAAATCTCATCTGTCTTCCAATAATGGACCAAGTAATATTTCTATTCTGCTCTTTATGACCATGTAACTATAACAATGGTTAAAAGCTAACCATTACATTGCTGAATAAGTGAGGCTATCCTTCATTAAATCAGGATTATAACCTTAATGGAATTTACTTCCTATGAACCATCTAGGACTCTAAGATCATCTGAGGAGGCCCTGCTCTCAGTCTCGCCTCCTTCACAGATGCGATTGGTGGGAACAAGAGACGGGGCCTTCACAGCAGTGGCCCCTCGGCTATGGAACACCCTTCCTAGGGATATTAGATTGGCCTCCTCCCTCCTAACATTTCGAAAAAGAGTTAAAGCCTGGCTTTTTTATCAAGAATTTGCAAATGCAGTGTAACAGGCTAATTTAGATCCACGGAACGATTGGACGATGCGACCAGAAAATGATTTTAATAATGAGACGCTGAAGACTTGTGTTTTATTGTTCTTATTGTCGCTATTGCTTTTATATTGTTTATATTATATGTTAATGTTTTTAATTATATTTTATGTTGTTGGGGGCATTGATTTATGCCGATTGTAAACTGCCTTGAGTCGCCTTCGGGCTGAGAAATACGGTAAATAAATAAATAAATACTTAGGTACTTGGGCAGGGAATTTAATTACCAGCCACTAGTTAATAGCAATTGCCAGCAAGAAGTCTTTAACAATTACCAACAATCAGGCCCCTTCCACACAGCTGAGTAAAATTCCACATTATCTGCTTTGAACTAGAATTCAAAGTGCTGGCTTTAGTCTATAAAGCCCTAAAATAGTTCCAGCCCAGTTTAGTTGTCTGAACATATCTCCTCCTATGAACCATCTAGGAGTTTAAGATCATATGGGGAGGCCCTGCTCTTGATCCCACCTGCTTCGCAAGTGCGATTGGTGGGGACAAGGGACAGGGCATTCTCAGTGGTGGCCCCCTGGCTATGGAACTCCCTCCCCAGGGATATTAGATTGTCCCCCTCCCTCCTGACTTTCCAAAAAAAAGTAAAAAACTTGGCTTTTTGAGCAAGCTTTTAGGAATGCAGTGGAATAGATAACATGGAACTATGAATGATGAACATGGAATGGTCAGACGATGTTACTGGAAAATGTTTTTAACAGGATGACACCAATGATTATGTTTTGATGTTTTTTATATATGTTTTATATTGTCATGTTGATTGTTTTTACTTGCACTTTATGAATGTCTGGCATCACATTGTGCCAATCTGTAACCCGCCTTGAGTCACCACATGGCTGAGAAAGGTGGGCTATAAATATCATAAATAAATAAATAAATATGGCAGTATAGACTCAGATAACCCAGTGCAAAGCAGTTATTGTGGGATTTTCTGCCTTGATATTCTGAGTTATACGACTGTGTGGAAGGGCCCTTAGTTAATAGGAATGGACAAGCATCTAGATATTAGTTACCAGTTAGTAGCAGTTAAGTGTTGGAAAGATAAGATGGAGGGGGAATTAAAATCCTATCCTATTTTTGCAATATCCAAAAAACAAACAAACATGCTTTTAGAAAAGTAATTATCTCGCCATGCATAAGCAAAACAGTTAATACTGTTGTGCCAATGTCAGCCACTAGATGGCAGTCTGTCCTCATACCAAAGAAAAAGCTGTGCTAATCTAGAGTATCAGTGTCCAAAGGGATTTTGCAGCACTTTTGAGATTCTGAGAGAAAGAAGTTAGTGGCAAAAGTATTTGTAGGCTTATATCTATATCTACATCATCAATTCCAAGAAGGGAAAGCCACTGGAAAAACAAAGGTGCACTTTACTGGAGTCAAGCATGTTACGTGTGTTTGTTTATCATATCAGAAGCAAACTGAGGGTACAGTTAAAATGTATTTAAAACACAAACAAAGTAAAAAAACTTGACATTATGCTAAATTTCCTTTGACCAGAAGCTGGCCACCTGGACAGCCTCTGGTGTCGCTGTGAGAAGGTCCTCCATTGTGCATGTGGCAGAGTGTGGGTTGCATTGTAGTAGGTGGCCTGTGGTTTGTTCTTCTTCACACTCGCATGCTGTGGACTCCACTTTGTAACACCATTTCATTTCGTGGTGCCAGAGCACAGCTTGTTCAGCATCTTCCCAGTCACCCCGTCTTCTGTGTGCCCAAGGGGGAGTTTCTCATCTGGCCTCAGCCCCTGATTGAAGTTCTGAGTTTTGCTTGCCACTTTTGGATTTTTGCTTGCTGAGGTGTTCCTGCAAGTATCTCTGTTGATCTTAGGAAGCTGTTTCTTGATTTAAGGTGTTGGCATGCAGAATATACTTTGTATACTTCCTATACATACCGGGTCCTAGGGAGGCACATTTGGAAGCTACAAGGCGTAGAGCTTTTTCGATCTATGCTCCAATTCTGTGGAACTCATTGCTTCCATATATTAGAGCAATGTCGGAGTTGCGACCTTTTGTAAAGGCGCTCAAGACTTGGCTGTTTGGTTGTGCATTTAAGTAACCGGATCAAATTTTGCCATAGTCACTGCTGAATGTTTTTATGTTGAATGTTTTTATGTTGAATGTTTTTATATTGAATGTTTTATATTGTGTATAAGCTATTTTAAATTGTAAGTCACTCAGAGCACTTTGGTGGAGAGCGACTAATTAAGAAATAAAGTGATGATGATGATGATGATGATGATGATGATGATGATGATGATGATGAATAAACAAATGGGCAAACAAACCTACCTGGGTCAAAGTGTTCTTCCAGTTCAGCTGCACCAAGGGAGGCCAAGAGTAGCAAGCAAAGCATCATGGGTCCCATCATCCTTGCTGGGCTTACTGGCTACACCAACAGTAGAACCGTCATGCCTTTGGAAAGGGCAGTCACCTACGTACCCAGAACACCGCACTTGGAGGACAATCTTACTCAGACAACGAGGGATCGCCTAAGTAAGGAAAGGGCAGAAAACAGCCGTTAGCCGCAAGTGGGTCTCTGTAAGCCACCTCATTGAGAGAGCCATGGTTGGGTGACTCAACATGAGCGGGCATCCGTGCTCCTTCCCTTTCCCGATTCAGACCCTTTTCCCTTTGCAACTGAACAGTACACATTCCACAGATAGGAGTCACGAGCATCCTGCCATTGTCTTCACTTTCCTATCTGGGCCAGAAAGGGAACAGGGTTGACACATTCTGACAGCAAGCAGTGTGACACATCGTTGTCTTCATCACTCATCCAAGAGGGACGCAAGCCAAAGCTGTGGTTTGGGCATGCGCTGGACATGTGGGAGATCCCAAGACCAAACAAGAGAGCCTGTCATTTGATCAGTCAAAACAAACAACTTGGTTCAATAAGGTCAAATATTGGTGAAACATGCTCAGAGAGGGTCAAACAATGGAGTGATTTATTAGAAATGAAACAGAGAGCCTCGTGCTCATGACAGAGCACAGATAGCTACACGCAATGCTCCTATGCACCCAGCGGTTTGGCTGCTTGACTTCCACTGGGTTCACAAAAGAACATAACAGCCCATGCGGGATCAAACAAAGCATCTTTCTCTGTCTCATTCAGTGCATTGCTTCTCAGTAGAGGCTAACCAGACGCCCCAAAGAGAACTCCACTCTCGTCAAGTGGGGATTTGGTTGGATTGTTCTTTCACAGATTGTCCTGGAATGGCACTTGCCAGGCCAAACATACAAATGGATACAACATGAAGTGGGGCATCCTTGCATCCCTGAGTTTGTGATACTTTCTATTTAAAAAAAACATGCTATGATATGAACATATTTGGGAAAATGCACATTTATTTTTATCATTTTATTACTAGCCGTCCCCTGCCACGTGTTGCTGTGGCCCACTCTGGTGGTCATGGGGGTTCTGTGTGGGAGGTTTGGCCCAATTCTATCATTGGTCGGGTTCAGAATGCTCTGTGATTGTAGGTGAACTATAAATCCCAGCAACTACAACTCCCAAATGTCAAGATTCTATTTTCCCCAAACTCCACAAGTGTTCAAATTTGGGCATATTGAGTATTTGTGTAGAGTTTGGTCCAGATCCATCATTGTTTGAGTCTACAGTGATGTCTGGATGTAGGTGAACTACAACTCCAAAACCAAAGGACACTGCCCACCAAATCCTTCCATTATTTTCTGTTGGTCATGAGAGAATTGTGTGCCAAGTTTGGTTCAATTTCATCATTGGTGGGGTCCAGAATGCTCTTTGATGGTAGGTGAACTATAAATCCCAACAACTACAACTCCCAAATGACAAAATCATTTTTTTTTGGAGTGAAGGACATACATTGGGTTGTTAGGTGTCTTGTGTCCAAATTTGGTGTCAATTCGTCCAGTGGTTTTTGAATTCTGTTAATCCCACAAACGAACATTATATTTTTATTTATATAGATTTTGTATCAAAAGCATTGCATAAATTAGCATGAAACTGATAAAAATAGAAGGAGCGCAGGCAGCTAAATATCCTTTGACCAAAAACGGGCAACAGCAATGGCATTGTCTGTAGCCTCCAACAACTCTTCCTCTGTACATGAAGCAGGGCACAGTGGACAAGCATAGAGATGCAGAGTTGTCTGTTCTGCTCCACATTCACACAGGATGTAGGATTCTTTTAGGTAATACTATTTTGTAGTGCTGTTAGGAACTGTGGGAGTTGAAGTCCAAAACACCTGGAGGGCTGAAGTTTGCCCATGCCTCATCTATACTGTTATGGAATGATGAGTCATCAGCAATCTTGCAAACATAGTTAAAGATCTCGTGGCCACGAGATCTTTAACTAGGTCTGCAAGATTGCCGATGACTCATCAAACTCCATGGGAATTCTCTGTGAACTCCCTGTAACTGGGTTGTTGTAGGTTTTTTCGGGCTATATGGCCATGGTCTAGAGGCATTCTCTCCTGACGTTTCGCCTGCATCTATGGCAAGCATCCTCAGAGGTAGTACCTCTGAGAATGCTTGCCATAGATGCAGGCGAAACGTCAGGAGAGAATGCCTCTAGACCATGGCCATATAGCCCAAAAAGACCTACAACAACCCAGTGATTCTGGCCATGAAAGCCTTCGACAATACAGTGAAGTGGTGTCAAACTGCATTGATTCTGCAGCATAGATATACACTCGCAGGGCTAATCACTGGGAGCAAACAAGATGCTGCCCATTTCAAGGGCAATTCCCTCTTGAGAGAGCCACACGTTAAAACTCCAACATTCTCTAGTTGCACGGCACTGCAGCATGTCCCTAAGAAGTTGGCGCAAGAATCCCAAATTCCAGTTTCCTGGGAACCCAGCCCTCCTCCTCTGTTTCTGAACCAATGACTTGTGGAGAGAAAGCGTGTGGGTGTGCAAGGGCCCTGGGCCAGCTGCTCCCATAATCCGTCACTGGAATGTCCCTCCCAACAGCTGCCCCATCTAAGGCCATAAACAGCAGCTGACAAGCCATAGTAGGGGGTGCCAATGAGAAAGAGGAAGGGGATGAATCACAGCATTGATCAGGCACCCCCTTTGTACCCAGAGGCCGCCCTGCATGATGCATTACAGACGCAAACCCCGGCTGAGACAACTACTGTATTTCTTTGGTTCTAAGATGCACTTGATTGTAAGATACACACTGATTTCAGTACCACCAACAGAAAAAAGCTTTACTGATATATAATAAAAGCACCTGTGATTTTAAGTACCCAGTTCTTTCCACACAACCCTATATCCCAGAATATCAAGGCATAAAATCCCACAATATCTGCTTTGAATTGGGTTATCCGAGTCCACACTGCCATATATTCCAGTTCAAAGCAGATAATAGATACCAGTCATCTGATATCTAGTGCAAGGCAGTTCCTATATTGCTTAGGGATATAGATCATAAGATTATAGGAAATTGTAGGGCTATGAAAAGTGTGGGGCAGGATCTATAAGGAGAGTAAGGGTGCATCTACACTGTAGAGTTAATGTAATGTGACTCCACTAGCTGCAGTTAAAATGGGCCCAAAACAATTATGAAAATGAACCCAGTCAATAGTAACTTGGGATAAATCTACACTATAGAATTAATATAATTTGACACTACTTTAATTGCCATGGCTCAATGCTATGGAGTCTTCTGAGTTGTAGTTTTACAAGGTCTTTAGCCTTATCTATCAAAGAGTGCTGGTACCTCACGAAACTATGACTCGATCTATACTGCCCTATATCCCAGGATCTAATTTGATAAACTGATAATCTGGGATCAGATCCTGGGATATATGGCACTGTGGAAGGGGCTTACAGCTCCTAGGAGTCCGTAGCATTGAGTCATGGCAGTTAAAGTGGTATTAAACTGCATTAATTCTATAATGTAGATCTGGCATGGGCAATCTTTCTAACTTAGAGGCCGCATGGTAGGCCAGAGTGGGGTGGGTGGGCCAGGAGGGAGAGAGTTCTCCCCAAATCCCCTCCTGCCCTTTCCTCGCCTTCCTTTTCTCTTTCAGAGACAGAAAATGAAGGAAAGATGGGAAATGCAAAGAGTTGCAAAAGAGTTAGCCTTGGTTAGGAGAGATGGTGGACAGGAGAGAAAAAGTGTATCTATTAGACCCTGTATTGCCTACTCCTGATATAGAGTCCTAGAGCGGGAAGAAACCCCCAAGGGCCATCCAGTCCAACCCCCTGCCATGAAGAAGGCACAGTGAAAGCACTCCCAATAGACAGCCTCTGCGGAAAAGCCTCCAGAGAAGGAGACTCCACCACACTCCAAGGCAGCCTATGCCACGCTCCATCAGCTCTTACTCTCAAGAAGATCTTCCTAATCTTTTTAGTTGAATCTCTTTCCCTGCCATTTGAAACCATTGCTCCCTTGTGCCCGGTCTCTAGAGCAGCAGAAAATCAGTTTCCTCCTCTTCCTCCTCAATGGGGCACCCTTATAAATCTTGAAACCTGGTTCTCATGTTCTCTCTCTAGCTTCTCTTCTCCCAGCTAAACATCCCCAGAAGGAAAGGAGGGAGGGAGGAAGAGAAGGATGGGTGGATGGAAGGAAGGATGTAATAATAATAATAATAATAATAATAATAATAATAATAGGAACAACAACAATAATAATACTTGTGCCACAAATACCATCTGTCTGCGACAAAGAACTGGTGAGATCACAAGCCTGAAAAGGTTACAGAGAATGAACACGTCAAGCTACTCTGGGATTTCTGGATTCAGACAGACAGGGTTTTGGAGCACAATACTCCCGACCTCACAATCATGCTAAAAAACAAAGTATGGATTGTTGATGTTGCAATTGCAGGTGACAGCAAGATTGAAGAGAAACAACTGGAAAATCTGACATGATATGAGGATTTAAAAATCGAACTGCAAAGACTCTGGCACAAGCCAGTCAAGGTGGTCCCAGTGGTGATCGGCATACTGGGTGCAGTGCCTAAAGACCTTGGTCTGCACTTAAACACAATCGGCACTGACAAAATTACCATCTGTCAACTGCAGAAGGCCACATTCCTGGGATCTGCACGCATTATTCACCGATACATCACACAGTCCTAGATACTTGGGAAGTGTCCAACTTGTGATCCAATACAACAGCCAGCAGAGTATCTGCTGTGGACTCATCTTGTTGTGTTTCAAATAATAATAATAATAATAATAATAATAATAATAATAATCTTTATTTATACCCCATCCTCATCTCCCCAAGGGGACTCGGGGCAGCTAACATGAGGCCAAGCCCAAAGATACAATACAGCAAAATAAAGTGCAAAACAACAAAAAATTACATCACAATAAAATACATAAAGTAACAAGATTAAATAAACAGTGCAAAATAACATAATGAAAAGTTGAACACAATGGGCGGGCCAAATGACAAGATAAAATGATAAAACCCTGGATGAGATGGGGGGAGTGTATTTGTAGGAGAGGAGCCTGAAAAGGACGAACAGTGGGGTTAGGCCTACATTAAGGACG